ACTAGAGTGAAGACACAGCTTTTTCTCTGGGCCTGTTGTGTTCAAGCTGTGTTTTAATGAAGCTTTGGGTTCCTCCGTTAGATCAGAAATGTAAAGGAAAATATTCTCTGAAAGACAGCTTGCCTACCAATACTGGAATTCCTCTGCAATAAGCAGATGCTGGAGTACTGAGTTTGTTGGGGGATTCATCTGTGATGGCATGGCCCAGGAAATAAGGTCAGGTCCATGCATTAACTGAGGTCATAGGCATGCCATATATTTCAAGCACATGGTTTGCCCCCAAAGAACCCTGATAACTAGTTTGTTGCTGTTGCTCTGTGAGGGATAAACTGATTCTAGCACTCGCTTAGGGATTATTTCCTGTTATGGTCAGTATCAGCTAATTATTCACTCTTCCCGCATCAGAAAGATACAGACCAGCCTCCAGCACATTTGGCTTCATTAATCTACCAGGTGTTTCTAATTAGGTCACCTATTTGGCACTGTCTTAGTGTCACAACATACACACAGTTGTTACTAGCCAAGCAAGAAACCAAAGGACAGTTCAAACGAAACTTAATTTTCAACCTGCCAGCAGGCTTAACATATTGGTGTCAAAGTACTCCTTCTTGCATTTGAACAAAAACCAGGTTAATCACCTTAAAGCACGGGCGACCAATCTGTGGCAGGGGATTGCAGCATACCTGTATGAGGTCTTTGCGGCAGAGACACTCCTGCATGCCTCTGCTACGCCGTCACAGCAAAAATCTATCAAGGCATGAGAGTCTTCATGTACACTGTTGAGTGCATTGCTGTAGAACTGCCTCATAGTTTGGAACATGCCCCAAAACCTTTGCAGATTTCAGCAGTGGAATAGATGCTATACTAGGTAAAAAATTTTTTAAAAAGGTAAAGGTAAATGACCCCTGGATGGTTAAGTCCAGTCAAAGGCGATTATGGGGTTGCGGTGCGCATCTCACTTTTCAGGCCAAGGGAGCTGGTGTTTGTCCACAGACAGCTTTCCAGGTCATGTGGCCAGCAGGACTAAACCGCTTCTGGCGCAACGGAACACCATGATGGGTGCCAGATCGCACAGAAACACAATTTACCTTCCCACTGCAGCAGTACCTATTTATCTATGTGCACTGGTGTGCTTTCAAACTGTTAGGTTGGCAGAAGCTGGAACAGAGCAAGGGGAGCTCACTCCGTCACACAGATTTGAACCGCCGACCTTCCAATCGGCAAGCCCAAGAGGCTCAGTGGTTTAGACCACAGCGCCACCCACATCCCTTTACCAAGCTATACTAAATGTACTGCTAAAGACATAGTCAAATAACAGCCTGAGGAGTCATGTATTGTGTGCTTGGGGTAATTCTTTTTATAGTCTCTTTTCTCAGCCCTTGGCCATCATGACTAATTGCATTTTGCTGGGAAGATTGGCTGTCTGGTCATGGAGATAGTTAATCCCTGCCTAAGAGAATGGGGGTGTCCCAAAGAAGGCAATTTTGAAGCTACTCCTGGAGGAGGAATCATTAGTCTATCAGATGGTCAATATTATCTTCTCAGGTGTGTGATGGTCAATTAGCTCCAGGCATTCTCTAATGAATCTGATTATCTAAACCTCTTCAGTCCAGTTTTCAGCCTGGAATTGAAACCAAAAGAGCTTCTTTGCCCTTTGCCCCCATAGATTACTTTAGTCAGGAAACGGAATAGGTCAGTGGTGTCCAAACTTTTTTCCAAAGAGGGCCAGATTTGATGAAGTGAAGGGCCGTGGGAGCCAACCAAAGTTGTTGACTTTTTTTATTATTTTACCCCAAAGTTGTTGAGCTTTTTTAGGGTTGGAGTTGTTGAGGTTTTTTTAGGATTTCACCCCAGGAAATAAACTGCCACAGGGGCCGGATTAGGCCCCCGAAACACACTTTGGACATGCTGGACTAGGTATTGTGTCCTTGCTTGTTCCCCTGGATTTCTTGTATCTCATTACTTTGGACCATGGCATCCTACCCAGTGATTTTCTTCTTAGAAAAAAAGGTGACAGTACTCATCATGAAGTTGTTACAGTAAGTGCCACATTTTTAACCAGTGCTTTTCTTCTATAAAAATGGGTGCTGGTACTGCATACACTTGAGTTTCACCAGAAAAAAAGGACTGATCCTACCATACTTCTTGTTTGCGATGGTAACTCAAGTGACCGATCTGGAGCGGCTTCGTGCCTATCTCACTGCTCTATAGAGCTAGGAAAGTTCATTTTTTAACAGGAACTAGTTCTATTCAAGTTCAAGATGTCCAAAAAGTTCATGTTTTCCCCTTCATAAAACAGAATAGTAGATGAACTAGTCTGGTTCATGTTCCTTTCATAATTCAGTTCAAGTTCATCCAAAGGATCCCCGGCAATTTCGTTTTCAACATTCAGAATATTACGAGCTCCTTTGTGGAAGTATAAAACATACTTACACTTAAGAAGACTAAGAAAACATCAAGCCACACACGCAGTGAATGTGAATTGTTTATTTTTCCTAACAATTATGACAGTTAAGCTTCAAGGTCAAAAGAGTCTAAGGAGTAAAAAATACATGCAAGAGAATGAAGCTGAAGATGAACTAGAAAGCATTCAAAATTTTACCTCAAAATGAACTTAATTCACTTTCCGTTCAGTTAGTAATTATGGAAAGCACTTTTAGGTGAAGTTCAGATATTTTTGAACTAATTCAGTGAACTTCATTGAACTAAACTAGTTCATTCCAAGCACTGCTGCTCATTTTCAGCTGTTGCTCTGCTCTTTGGCCAGTAGGAAATGGACAATTTTTGTAACAACTCCTCTTCTTTAGTCGAAATAAATAAAAAAATGGTCCAGTGGCACCTTAGAGACCAACTAAGTTTGTTCTGGGTATGTGCATGCACACGAAAGCTCCCAATTTTTTAATCTGTAGGCTGCCTTAAGTTCCTGTCAAGGTAAGAGGTGGGTTATAAATAAACATATAATAATAATACTTTCTATTTGTAGGTTAGATAAATGCACCAGTTCTGGAGGCCTTCTTATCTGCGCCACAGACATTGCCCATTAGACAAGACTACTACTCAGAAGCTGCAATTTGAAATACAGAGCAGTAAAATGTTTGCCCACAGCCTTTCCATTTGTCTGCTGCTTGAGGTTTCATCCATCGTTATTACTCAAGAGAAGCACTTTCTTTTGCCCTCCTTATTGGTTTATGTTATGTGTGGAAAATAGAGGGAAAGAAACGCTTAATTCATAGAACAGTAGAGTTGGAAGGGACAACGATCGATCGTCATCTAGTCCAAGCCCCCTGCAATGCAGGAACCCAGAGAGATGGAGAATCTGAAGGCAGCCCTGTTTAGGGAAGTTTTTCATGTTTGATGTTTTATCGTGTTTTTGATATTCTGTTGGGAGCCGCCCAGAGTGGCTGGGGAAACCCATTCAGATGGGGGGGCGGATAAAAAATATGATGATTATGCTGCCTCAACGGAGGCCTTGCGAGTTTTAAAAGCCAAATCCTGGACTTGAGAAGGATCTAACAAGGAACCTTATACGGCACGAGCCACAGAAAATAACAATTTTGTTGCTGTTTTTCCAAAAAAAATTATTGGTTTTCACAACATTATAAACAAACACATAAGACAAACAAACATAAATCATAGCCTTATTGAAAATCATTAACATTGTTAAGTGACTTCCTCGCTTCCCCTTGGTTGAATTTCATTGCATACCCTTTTAACGGTTTTCCAAATCCCAGTTCTTATAAAACAATAACATCCTTAGATCTTCACATTATGAAATTAAACATATTAATTCATCACTTAACATAAATAAAATCCTGAGCCAATTAAGTATCTGCAAGCTGTTTTCAGTTCATTTGACTTAACATATTTAACTAAGGAATCATTAAATTTAATCCACTCTTCCTGATACGCAGCAAATAACAACATTGAGGCGCCTCCACGGTCGCTTATTGCGCACCCCTAGGCTTGGATGTGAAGGCACAAGCATCTGCCTCGCGAATAAACTGAAGGTCATAGAGGGCTGGAGAAATAAAATGATGATGTCTGTACCATGTGCCCGATAATAAATGTTGGAAATGTAAGGAAAATGAAGGTACTTTTTTTCACCTTTGGTGGACGTTCCCAAAGATTAAGGCTTTCTGGGAAATGATATATAATGAACTGAAAAAGGTATTTAAATATACCTTCTTGAAGAAACCAGAGGCCTTTCTCCTGGGCATAGTCGGCCAACTGGTGCCAAAGAAGGATAGAACTTTCTTTATGTATGCCACAACAGCAGCAAGAATACTTATTGCAAAGTATTGGAAGACACAAGATCTACCCACTCTGGAAGAATGGCAGATGAAGGTGATGGACTACATGGAATTGGCGGAAATGACTGGCAGAATCCGAGACCAGGGAGAAGAGTCGGTGGAAGAAGATTGGAAGAAATTTAGAGACTATTTACAGAAATACTGTAAAATCAATGAATGTTAGAATGATGTTGGAATGAAGTTAAGTGGTTTCTAGCTGTAATGGTATAAAAGAATATGAAAAAATGGATTTCTAACAGGTAAAAATTTAATGTTATAATATATTTAAGATTAAAGATCAGGATCAGTTAAGGAGGGAAAGGAACTGCTGAACTAACAAATTGAACTGGAATACAAAAAAGGGAGGTAGGAGGAGGTCCGGGAAACAAGTAAATGAAAGATAAATGACAGAAAGATTGAATTGTTTTTAATTATTTTTATTTTGTATTTTTTCTTCTTTTTCTTTTTTCATTTTGTAATATTGTGAAAATCTTCATAAATATTTATTAAAAAAAATAAATGATGATGTCTGTATTAAGGACCCTCCCCTTCATCTATAGCGCCCGGCGGGCCGTCTTTTATATTTTATTTATTTATTTAAAAAGCAGAAGGGAACCATGCGCATGCCGGAACGCCAGTGCTGGGGGGTGAGGTTTCCGACCGGAGCTTTAGCCCCAGCCGTACCTCCTCCTCCTCTCCTCGCGGCTGCCCAGGCCGCTTCCTTCCGGCCGCCATTTTAGCTTGAGCTTTCCCTTGCCTCTCTCTCTCTCTCTCCATCTCCCTCTCTCTCTCTCTCCGCGGCCTCCTCGCGGCCGCCTGCCCTGCCGCCCCCGGCCATGTCCAAGCGCCACCGCCTCGACCTCGGGGAGGACTACGGCTCCAACAAGAAGCGGCTCGCCGCCCCCGATGGGTAAGGAGGAGGAGGAGGAGGAGAAGCGGCGGCGGCGGCGGCGCCTGCCCGCTCGACGAGCACATTCCTGCTCTCCGGCTCCCTCAGCGCCGTTGTTGGGCGAGGAGGCCGCGCTGGGCGGAGGGAGCGGGCGGGGAGCCGGCGGCGCCCAAGGCAGGCGGGCCCCTTCTCCCCGCAGGACGCGCTGCGGCCTCCCTGGAGGAGGCTGGCCCGTAGCCAGGCCGGGCCGGCGGCCCCTTTGTGTCCCTCGGCCTCGGCGCTGCCAAGCCTCCCTTTCCGCGCGGGCTCCGTGCGCGCCCCCGGCTCCCTGCCTGCTCGCTCTTCAAACAGCCAGGTCTTCGTCGCGGCTGCTATTATTATTATTATTATTATTCTCCCTCACGACGGGAAAATGCAAATTCTTCGTCGCGGCGGCTGCTATTATTATTATTATTATTATTGTCTCCCTCACGACGGGAAAATGCAAATTCTTCGTCGCGGCGGCTGCTATTATTATTATTATTATTATTATTATTGTCTCCCTCACGACGGGAAAATGCAAATTCTTCGTCGCGGCTGCTGCTGCTATTATTACTATTATTGTTGTTATTATTATTATCCTCTCCCTCACGACGGGGAAATGCAAATTCTGCTGCTATTATTATTAATAATAATAATAGCAACAGCAGCAACGAAGAATTTGCATTTTCCCGTCGTGAGGGAGATTATAATTATAGTAATAATAATATCATTTCCCTCACGACGGGAAAATGCAAATTCTTCGTTGCGGCTGCTGCTATTATTATTATTATTATTATTATCTCCCGCACGACAGGAAAATGCAAATGAGAATCGACTAAAATATTGGGGGGGGGGCCAGTCATCATCGATCTCAAGACTCGGCACACGCGCACCGTCTGAATGACCATGCCCCATCCACTTGAGGGGGACCCAGCCTCCTTAAATATTTTATTTTTTTGGGTGGGGGTGGGGTGGGAAGAAAGGGACCTCGGCCCTTAGGAGTTGGCTCTTATGATGAGAATATAAAATGCATAATAAATCGAAAGTTTTGTGTTCCCCACGTATCCCTCCCCCCCCACCTGCCATATCTGCTTCAGGCAGCAACAGCCAACTAAAAGACCAGCCAGCAGGGCTTCAGAAAGCACATGGTTTTGTGTTTCTCCGTTGTGGGACTACAATTCCCATCATCCCTAGCTAAGCCACGCCAGTGGTTGGGGGTGGTGGGAGTTGTAGTCCCCACAACAGCTGGGGGGGGCAAGTTTGGCGAGGCACATCCGCAACCCACAGTGGCGCATTGCGCACGCGCGGGTTGCGATTCGGAGCTTCTGTGCATGCACAAAGCGCGATTTAGTGTTTTTGCGCATGCGCCAAAACCTGGAAGTAACCCATTCCGGTACTTCCGGGTTTTGGCGTGTCCATAACCCAAAAACACGCAACATGAAGCGTCTGTAACCCGAGGTATGACTAGTGAGAAACCAGGGTTCAGCCTCTATTCCATGTGCAGCTGGGAAATGTTTAGAAATCTGGAGAGCCACTTCCGTTTCAGTGTGGACACAACACTGATAGGGGTGGGGGGAATAGATTATTGTTCTAACAGAGGGTAGCTTTGTTTTTCTTTTTGTGCTTTGGAGACGAGCATGTTTCGTAGATGGGAGCCCACTTCACCCAGTATTTTAAGTTACGTTGTTGGGAGTGCAGCCATCATCGTCCCTGACCATTGGGCCATACTGACTGGGTCTGATGGGAGCTGCAGTCCTAGCAAGTATTAGGAGCACCACAGGTTCCTCACCTTGGTAAGTGTGTGCACACATGTATTCTCAAGTACAGCGATAAAAGGGAGTGGGGAAGGTGTGTTGTAGAGAGTTAGGCAGAACGTTTAAAATAGTGATGTGGGTGGCTCTATGGTCTAAACCCTGACCATTGGTCCTGATAGCTAGGGATGATGGGAGTTGTAGTCCAACAACTGCTGTAGAAAGGCTGCTTTATCCTATTACTGCTAAGTTCACTCAGGAATCTTTGGTGAGGAACTTGTTGAAGTACAGGCTATGACTGTTTTATGTGCGTTCGCATGGTGGCCTTATATGTGCTCTGTAGTAGGCGGGGGGCGTTCAGGATCATTGCCTGTATTTAATGTCCGTTGTATAACATCTGCAACACAGCCAGGATATGGATATTATGTTGTTCTTTGTAGGTTTGTATGGCATATACTGGGCGTTTTCCTTTTGAATGTCACTTTATTAATGAACGGAAGCATTTTCATATGTTGCAAAGCATGTGTTGCACAGATTTTGCACAGGTCCATGGTTATATCTGACACTGATAGTTTGATGTTGAAGCCAGTCATCAGGACTTCATGAATTCTTTTGAAGGAGGCCAGTAACACTGTGTCCTGGAAGCGTTGGGGTAACCTTTAATAATAATAATTCTGCAAAGATCTTTTCATAAATGGTGAAAAGCTAGTGCAATGCCAATACAGATGGGGGTCTTTGTATTTCAACAGTGTGAATATTCCATAACACTAGCGCCCTCAATACAAAAAGGCTTGCCTCTGCATCACCGCAAGCCAAAAATCATTAGGTTGTGGCAAGACTAATTGGGAACCGTTTGATCTTAAACTTAATGCCCTTAACAAGCTATTGGGTAAGGGGGAGGATTCACTCATTCAGGTAAACTGGTCCAGAATTGTTTAGGGCTTTGTAAGTATATAATATGATATTGAAATCAGCTTAATGGCTAATAGGCAGTTAAGATCCCTGAGGATAAACATTATATGTTTTCATAAGGACCACCTCTCAGACTCTGGCATTATGGACCAGCTGCAGCAACTGGACCATCCATAAGGAAAGCCCCATAAGGCTTTCACAGTAGTCTAAACATGGGGTATTCCTGTCCAGTAAAATGACACAGTTTATATACTGGAGGAAGCTGGCAATAGGCACTCTTTGCCATGGAGATCACTGTGTGTTTGTTCCATCAGAGGGAGTGCAATCCCATCTAGAACAGCCAAAATGCCTCATTCTCTGACCTGAGAACCACTACTCCTTGTGTCTCTGACGTAAAGGTAAAGAGACCACTGACTGTTAGGTCCAGTCGCGGACGACTGGGTTGCTGCGCTCATCTTGCTTTGCTGGCCGAGGGAGCCGGTGTACATCTTCTGGGTCATGTGGCCAGCATGACTAAGCCGCTTCTGGCGAACCAGAGCAGCGCACGGAAACACCGTTTACCTTCCCGTCGGAGCGGTACCTATTTATCTACTTGCACTTTGGTGTGCTTTCAAACTGCTAGGTTGGCAGGAGCAGGGACCAAGCAATGGGAGCTCACCCCATCGCAGGGATTCGAACCGCCGACCTTCCGATCGGCAAGCCCTAGGCTCAGTGGTTTAGACCACAGCGCCGCCCACGTCCCTTGTCTCTGACTTAGCAGTATTCAATTTCAGTTTATTAACTTAAGTTGGATTGTCAGCTATTGTTGTTCTTGAGTTGGGATAGCCTGGTTCAGTTGTTCCTGCTCTTGTGACCTCCCATCAGGACTACTGCAATGTGGTGTTCATGAGGCTCCCCTTGAAAATAGTCCAGAAGCTGCAGCTAGTAGAGAAAATGGCTGCTAGGTTGGTAAGACCTAGCGCTGGCTGCCGTTGTGCTACCAGACCCAATTCTAGGTACTTGGCACTTGGGTACTAAGCCTTAAATGGGTCCAAGTATCTAAAAGAAACCTCGCCTGGAATTACTTGAAATACATGCCCAACAGACTGCTGGAGCAAATTCCCTCCCCCACTGAAATATGATTAATAATATGCTTAAGAATATTGAGAGGCAGGTGGAATTTAAACTTCCATCTTAAATGTTGAGTTGTGTGAGTGAACTAGGTTGTCTGACAGCCAGATTCCTATGATAACTAGGATTGGTGTTTGGTCGGGAAAAAACTTGGTTAATGGACCATTCAGATATTCTGAAATTTTTTTTTTGGCTGGGGGACAGGAAGAATGAGTGGGGTGGGGAAGCTGCCAGAGGGTGGTGCCATGATACCCTCTCAAAATTCCTAGTGACCCACATCCTCAAAATGATTGGGAACCCTTGCTTTTGTACAAATTTGTGTGTGCTGTGACATCAAAAGTGGTTTGGCTGGAGCATTTTTAGGCATTTCATCTTCCACTTCAGGCAACTGTCCAAGAGGGTAAAATTTTGACTGGCTAGTACAGGCTGGGCAGCTGATTTGCCTAGACTTGCACCAGTTTGATGGCGGGTTGTATATGTTTTATGCTTCTCTGAATTTTGTATTGTTATTCCTGTTCAGAAATGCATGTAGTGTTTTTTTGTTGTTTTTTTTGGCTATATTTTAATCCTTCTTTTCCCCCACAGAGGTCAGGGTGATATATGAGCATTTGTCACAGGAAAGTTGTAAGTCAGGGAACGTGTGCACATTAATGAGAAACTTACAAAGTCCTGAAAGGTGCAGGGCTTGGGAACAAGGGGCTTTCCATTGTACTGTAGCTACCAGATGATACCACAAAAATGTTACTGGCCACTTAGCAAGGAAATTCTTAACTTCAGGGAATATTTGATAGAACATACATGTGGCCATATAATAGATGGTTGGTTGACTATTCCAACCATTCCACTATGCTATACGGGAGGGAGATGGAACTGCAGGGCCTCTCTATCCACTCTGCTGATACACCAACAGCTTTAGGTTCTTACCAAATCATTCTATTTCAGCTGGTCAGTGCAAGAGTTGGCGCCTGAGCATGCTTCTACCTCCCTCCCTCCCTCCCTCCCTTTTCCATTTGTTTTGTGTATTTTAGACAGTAAGTCTTAGGACAGGGACTGCCTTATCATGGAAGCCTTTTTTGACTGAAAAGCAGAACAAAAATAGGTTTAAATTTTTATTTTTTTTACCACTATCCCAATCCTGATTTACAAAACTGATGCTTCTTAGTAGTTAGCTGTTAGTTATTCACTCTGAGCAAATGGGCTATTTTGAGGATGCTACTTTCAGACCCACAACTCTATTTGGTTGCTGGTATTCACACAGTCCACATGTAATGGAAAAGTAATGGTTCCCACCATGAAAGCAAGTCACCGGGAGCAAGCCTTCCCACTGCAAAAGGAAGCAGCTTCTGTTATGCAGCAGTGAGGAGGACACTGAAAGTTTATATTTTATTTTAAACTAACCAACTTGGGGGAAATGTGGTCTGCCCACGCGTGGGCAAGCTGTGTCCCAAGAGCTGCATGTGGTCCTCAGTCTAATTCTCCCTTTGGGGATGCCCAGAGTGAGAAGGAGAGTGGAAGGTGAGGAAATATGGAGGGTACACCAGAAATGGATGTCACAGTGGGAGAAGGATAGGAAATCCTCTGAAAGTGATTAGTTCAGACCTCTGGTAAGAGCAAGCTGTCCTTTGGCAACTGCTGGGCAAGGAGGGGAAGGGAAGAGAAAGAAGGAAAGCGGGTGGCAGAGAAAGGAAGAAAAGATGACCCCATCCACTTTTTACTCTGGTTTTGCACCCACTTCTACCTTGAGAGAATGCAGACCTTGACAGAAAAGTGTTTCCTCTCCCTAGTTTAGTGGCCAGTGAAAAGAGGCCCAAATCAAAGTGTGGTGTCAAATCGTCATTTGGTCTCCAGCCATAGTTTAAAGGACTCACACTTCCCCAAGGCTCACAGTTGTTCTTTGTGTTACTGGGAAACCATGATTTCCTATTCTGTTTCAACAGAACAAGTGGGTATGTAGAGGCGGGTAATTGACTCTTCACCCACTTGGAATTGCATGTGGCAATGCCATAGTTTGCAGTAGTTCATACTGATGTGGTAATGTTGATGTGCTGCTGTACTAATAGAACAGGGGTCCCTAACCTGCGGCCCATGGGCCGGAAGCAGCCCATGGAGGTCGTTTAACCGGCCTGCGAGCTGCCCCCAAACTGAGCCGCCCATTCGTGAGTCCCCATGTGCTGCAGTAAATTGTGGCGCTGGAAATCGCTTCTGTGCATGCCCAGATGCCAGAAATAGCTTCTGCGCAGACACCATTTTCAGTGTCTGCGCATGCACAGAAGTGATTTTTGGCGCTGCGGATATGCGCAGACGCAATTTCCGGTGTTGCATTGCACCGGCCCATGGAGGATCTGGCCCATACCCAGTAAGCCTTGCCGACCCCTGTAATAGAAGTCCTGAGTCTACTCATTTTGGTTGCACACAACCATACATACCTAAGCTGGTATAGGTGGAGCAGTTTCTGCAGTTGGTCCTATATAGTTTGCTTATTTAAAATATTTATGTACCAGTTGGCAGGTGGATCTCACAAAGTAGTTTTGTTTCCTACCAGTGGGGTCCCTTCTTGGTATGGTGACCCTCAAGTCCAAATGTGCTTGGCATAGTGACCCATTGTTTTATTGTCACATGAATTTTTGACCATCGGTCTTCAGCGGCCATTGATTATGTGCATTTTAACTACAAGGTTGCCATTACTTGAGGCATCCAAGAAAAAAAATACTGAACACCCCTATTAATGTGGAATTTTTTGAAATATTTATAGTGCTTACAAAATTATTCAGTTTTTTTATAGGAGTGTAAGAACAGCAAGCATCTGATAGCAAGATATTGCTTCATAAGCTATAAAAATATTCTTAAAACATACAGCTGCACAGGCAATGCTAGATATAGCAAACTTAGAATATTTTTAATAGTTTTATTCACTATAAAGTCCATTTTGGCAAGTGTAAGTGGTATGGCTGTGCTTTCATTTTGCCAACAAGTAGGTCAGTGTGGGGTTTGATGATTGTGAGACATAGTCTCAGATCATTATTAATGTATAAGATAAAGATATTATTTCTTATTTCAACTAAGCAAACTTCAAATTACTCTTGACTTAACTATTGGCTAATCCTGGCAGTAGATCCAGTGACAGTTTGCCACAAGGTGCTTGTAGGGGGAGTTGTTTTGAGTGACTATAACAGCTTGCCTCTTATGGTGTGAGTGTCTTGTGATGAACTGTTACTAGATCTGCTGCCAGTCACCAAGCATTAAAATATAAGACTCAAGCCTTTCTGCTGTACAGTTACAAGTGTCAACACAGCGTTACAATAATAATAAAAATAAAAATAAAAATAAAATAAAATAAATATATTTATATCCCGCCCTCCCCAGCTGAAGCCGGGCTCAGGGCGGCTAACAACAATAAAACAGTATAAAAGTACAGCATAAACAACACTCTAAAATCATTCATTATAAAATTAATTAATTCAAGCCACTGGCAACCATTGGGCCAGAGCTCCGCGAATATTGCCGAGGGAGGGAGTCAGGCTGTGCCCTGGCCAAAGGCCTGTTGGAACAGCTCTGTCTTGCAGGCCCTGCGGAAAGATGTCAAGTCCTGCAGGGCCCTGGTCTCTTGTGACAGAGTGTTCCACCAGATCGGAGCCACAGCCGAAAAAGCCCTGGCTCTAGTTGAGGCCAGCCTAACTTCTCTGTGGCCTGGGACCTTCAAGATGTTTTTATTTGAAGACCGTAAGTTTCTCTGTGGGGCATACCAGGAGAGGCAGTCCCGTAGGTACGAGGGTCCTAGGCCGTATAGGGCTTTAAAGGTTAAAACCAGCACCTTAAACCTGATCCTGTACTCCACCGGGAGCCAGTGCAGCTGGTGTAGCACTGGGTGAATGTGATCTCGCAGTGAAGACCTCGTAAGGAGTCTCGCTGCAGCATTCTGCACCCGCTGGAGTTTCTGGGTCAGTCTCAAGGGCAGCCCCACGTAGAGCGAGTTACAATAATCCAGTCTGGAGGTGACCGTCGCGTGGATCACAGTGGCTAGGTCAGGGCGAGAGAGGTAAGGAGCCAACTGCTTAGCTTGGCGGAGATGGAAAAATGCCTTTACCTTTTTAAAAATAATATGCCAAGAAGCTATAAGCGGTATTCATCATACTAGTTAAGGATTAAAAGCCATAATTATCTGGGTTATACTTGTAAAGACTGCAACCCATCAGCAGAGGCATTGCAACCAACTAGCAGGTTGTGACACACAGGTTGGAAATACTGCTTTAAATGGCTTCAGCAAACAGCTAGAGTGGACTTCGTACTTCACATTTGTAACTGCGCACCACCTAAAAAGTAAGGAGTAGCACTAACAATATTTTTATGTATGTATGTTATAGAATAAATCAAAAGAAGTTATAGTATCAGTTTATCAATACTATACTATCACCAGTGCATAACACTTGTATTTAAAGCAGGATGGTCATTTTAGTCAGTTGGTTGAATTTGCATTGCAATATAAGCATAATCTTGCCTTTAGATCATGTATATGTGAGTGTTGTAGTAGCATAATCTTAGGTAATTCCCTCTTTTGTCTACGAGAATAGTAAAAGCCTCTTTTAAGATGAGACTTGCCAAGAGAGAAGTTAAAACATCTGCTGCCTAATTAATCAGGTCAACTTTTTGATTGGTCAAAATACTTATGGTAAATTAAATGTTCCCATCTAAATTTAAAGGCATTTTCCTGGAAGTTAATGCCACATATAATATCCATCAGTGGTTTGAAGGAGGTGGGTTGAACTAGGTTGTGTCTCCATCATAGTTAGTTAACAGCATCACCACCACTGATTCTTTGTTTCATCTACTTTGTTGAGCTTTTCTCATTTCCTGGCTCTCTTTCAACATCTATGGAAATAACTAAAAGTAGCCCTGTTTGGAAAGATGAGGATAAAAAACGTCCCCAGGTCTGACTGCTAAGATACCCAGTGATATACTCATCACTCATATTCTATTGCTGTTGATATTATGCTGGTCTATTATGGTGTATAGACTCGTAGTAAGATTTAAAAACTTCTTTGTTTCTACCACTAGTCTGCTGTCAAAAACTGGTTGCTTATAGGAATAGTATTTTTACTTAGAAGCAGATACTCTTTTCCGCATTAGCAGAGAATAGCTCCACACAATACTACCATATACATAAAACATGGGGTTGTTGCAAAAGATGCTATCCCATATCCCTGGTAAGATTCCTTTTTCTGAATCATTGTCATATTGTGTCTTCCAGTGACATCTTTGGCTTGGAAGTGGGGAAAGAGAGCCAAACACAAATCCTTAATTTTACACTTGCTCCCGTGTCTTTAAGCAAATTGGAGTGGAAAAGGCAGATGGTCTTCATTACGAGAATTCTTGGATTGTGGTGCTAGGTAGTATATAGGCTGTATGTCATTGGATGTGGATGTTCTGTTATAACAAATTTAGTATGCAGGATTGTTCAAGAGATCTATGAATTGAAAAAAAATCAAACTTGATTTATATCAATAATATACATATCCATATGACCAGTTTGGATGCTTTTCAGTCGTTTCTCCAGTGATTGCAGACAGCTTCCCTTAAACACCACTGCAGATTGCCTCTTGAAACAGGCAATTTTGGGTGTGTTATAGATGTGCTCTCCATTCATGTGGAGCAATGGTGAAGCCCAAGAAATGTGGCCAGTGCCCTGATTGTCCACCCTAGAACACCTGTAGGAATCATGTGCTTTACCTGGGATTCAGTTGTAGATATATGGAGGTTCCTTGGCAGATGTCAGTGTGGAAGGAATTTCCTGGGGTTGGGGCGTTTGAAACCCTGGCACTTAATTCCTGAGTGCTTATCTGCTTCAAATAGAAAGCTTTCATGCCCTGTATTGGTATTTTCAGATTTGCAAAGCAAGGCAGAACAGAAATTGAATACCCTAATTTTTATAGGCTTAGTTCATGACGAAGCTGTTCTGAAAACCCAGAATGACTTGTCTATCTTTGGTTATCATCATCATGGCAAATCATTCTAGAATATCTTACGTAGAGGGAAAGGTAATCTAGAACCAATAGAAACATGGGCTTGTTTATTTCCAATAAGGAAATTTTGTAATAGAGAGCCTTTATTATGGTTATTTCAATGTAACTTATCTTTCTTTGTTCTGGAAATCATTTAGGAAGGATCGAGATCGTGAACGGGATCGTGATGACCGGTCCAAAGACCGTGACAGGGATCGAGATAGAGACCGTGACAGGGAAAGAGATAAGGAAAAGGATTTACGCCCATCAACCAATTCTGCACTCCTTCCTGGTGTTGGGTTGCCACCTTTAAAGCCAGCTGTCCTTCCACAGGGTATTAATCCATTTACAAATCTACCACATACACCTCGTTACTATGAAATCTTAAAGAAACGACTTCAGCTCCCGGTCTGGGAATATAAGGAAAGATTTACTGATATTCTGATCAGACACCAGTCTTTCGTACTTGTTGGTGAGACAGGTTCTGGCAAAACAACACAGGTAAGTTATTTTTTCCAACCTTTATTCATTTGTAAAGATTTTGTGGTGTGCGGCAAGTGTTAAATGTTTGGAAGGATTCTGTGAAAGTATTAAGTGTTGTACTAGCAATATTTCAGTGTCCTTAACGAAATTCGTTGTGCAGTGACACATCACAGGTCTTACCCTTTTGAGCAAGATCTGTTTAATGAACCTTTCAGTTGCTTAATGACTAGAAAATGATGTAATGAGATTTCACTCTCCTCCCCCACCTCTGGTAGTCTGTCTGTCTCTTCAGGGTCTGTTACCTTTTCATAAAAGGTTCAGTGATGTTTGAATTGCTCAATACAAGCCTGTGTTAATCTACAAATAACTGCTATTCTGGTTACTTGGATGTGATGAACTTATAATAATGGTAAGAAAGTATGGGAAGCCACTTATTCAAACCGTATTTTTCTGAAACTGTCTACTGGCTTAATGGAAAAAACCAATGTATTCCAATTCTTATTCATTGATAGCAACTGAATTGCTTTGTTTTATATACTTTGACAGTATAAAATGACTGTTTGTTGCCTATGTAGATTGCTTTCTGGTTTGTAGTAGTGTTAGATCTTATCCTCTAGAAAGAATTATGTCACTGATAGAGGTGTGGAGAACATATTGCTCTCAAAAGTCATAGGTGCAGGGCTCATTGTTCTCAGGGAGTTCACATAAAGGACAGTATTTTAAATGCTACACATAAACAGACTTGTTACAAGAACAAAATGTTCTGGTGTATTTGGTCTTAATTTTCAATATACAGTATATATATAAATCTCCTCATTTCATCACCTTTGCAACCATTAGTCCTATAGGTATCAGTGAGATTTCTGACAGTGGTGAAGAATTTTCTGTGCTTGGGCCCTTTGTAGTCTGTCAAAGGGAGATATTCAGAATCATAGAATTGTAGAGTTGGAAGGGACCAAGAGGGTTATCTAGTCCAACTCTCTGCAAGGCAGGAATCTTAAGAAAACATCCACATATGCTGGTAAAGGAATGCTTCAGTATTTAATATTCAGTACATTCAGAACTATCAGTTTTGGGGCATGGCTGTGAAGGAAAGAATATGGCCGCTTAAACTTTAAGCTCTACTCCAGAAAAACAGCTTGGAGCAAGAGCCTGCTGTCTAAAAACCCCAAACCTTGAAGGAGAGAGGAATGCAAAAGGATTCAGAAAAGTCAAAAATGAAAGGCCTCACTCAATTCTTTCTGCACATAGATAGAAATCTCACCTCCCCAAGGACACTAATGCAGGCCAAAGCCAAGATGGTACCTCTCTTGAAAGAGGTGTGTTCCTCACTGGAGAAAGAAAATGGTAACAATGTCTTAAGAGAAGAATTTGCAGCCCAACAAGAAGCCATAAAGGAGCTTATTAAAAATACTCAGAAAGAACTAAGCAATGCTTCCAGTAGAAACGAAACTGGCAGAATGTAACAAGAGGCTTTACTCCTTAACGGAAACAACTGCAGCAACAAAAGATTAAGGCAAATCTATGATAAAAAGTTCAAAGAATTGCAAAAAGAAAATATAGATATATGAAGATGCAGAAAATCAAAATAGGAGAATTAATTTACATTTTCATTCTTCTGAAGAGGCAGTGGAAAAGAATGATCCTGCACAATTTATTGCCTCTTGGCCGAAATCACTGCTTCCAGACCTCATAATCTCTGCTGATGATTTTGAACGGGTACACAGAGCACTCAAACCCAAACTGATAGAGGGAGCTCCCCTCATGATACAATTGTCTGTTTTGCCCGCTACAGGGAGGAGGAAATGTGGAATAAACTGAGGAACCTAATACCCATAACATATAAAAACAGCCCAGTTGCAGTGATGGAGGAACTGGATTTTGGAACACTCAAGAAAAGGAAAAACTCTCTGTGCTTGCATGATTAAACAATAAGAAGCTGGAATTAAATAATGCTTGGGCTTTTCCTTCTGTCATATCATCAAGAGAGGATCAGCACAGCTCACAGCAACAAATAGACTCGAAGCAACAGATCTCCTCAACAGTCTTGGAATCAACCTGCCTCTGGCATGGCAGCTAGGAGAGGCGGTGGAAGAAGGAACACTCTGACCTTTCCAATGGAGGTTGGGAGGATGCAAACAGGAGAAAAAGATCTAGCAAAAGCCTGACACATAACAGCCAAGGAGACCACCACAACACACCCAGCAGATTCCTATGTCCTGCTTCCTGAGACAGACGGATGCCAATAACAACAACAACCAACATCAGACCAAGAAATACGGACTAAATCTTCAGTGTTTCGGCTAATCCAGTTATCAGTAAGGCAGCCACAAGACCAATAGCCTCATTTGAAAGACTTGTAAATTCCTTCTGAGGATAAGGTCTAGATGTAACACCCACAATCTACATAGATTGTGCATTGAGAGCTGGACCATAAAGAAGGCTGATCACCGAAGAATTGATGCTTTTGAATTATGGTGCTGGAGGAGATTCTTGAGAGTCCCATGGACTGCAAGAAGATCAAACCTATCCATTCTGAAGGAAATCAGCCCTGAGTGCTCACTGGAAGGACAGATCCTGAAGCTGAGGCTCCAATACTTTGGCCACCTCATGAGAAGAGAAGACTCCTTGGAAAAGACCCTGATGTTGGGAAAGATGGAGGGCACAAGGAGAAGGGGACAACAGAGGACGAGATGGTTGGACAGTGTTCTCGAAGCTACGAACATGAGTTTGACCAAACTGCGCGAGGCAGTGGAAGACAGGAGTGCCTGGTGTGCTCTGGTCCATGGGGGCACAAAGAGTCAGACACAACTAAACAACAACAGCAACAACTCAATGCATTGGTGGGTTCACTTGACCCAATTAAACATCAGTGTGAATGTGATTTCGGTTATGAATTTGACCCAAGTCAGTGAAATAGACTTTGGACAAAAAAGCCTTTAAGTCTCTCTTGGCAAGCTATAGAGAATTAACCCTAAAACTCATATAGGTAGCTGACAGTGATCCATCCCAGCACCTCACCACATAACTGGAAGGGCTGCCCCACACCCAGTATATATCTCCACATGTTGTGGAAATATACAGAAGTTCAAACATTCTGGAATTTGATACTTCAATAAATTAATAAAATAACAAAAAATAGAAGTTGAACCAGAATTAGTTTATTAAATGCATTTGAAGACAACAATCTGGATTTACTGTACATAATAAAGAATTAATAAGTCATTTATTACAAGTGGTGAGATGCAGCATAACCAGATACTGGAAAGACCTTTCTGGTAGAATGATAGACAATTGGTACAAAACAGTTTGGGAAACAGCCCTCCTTGAGAGATTAAAAAATAAAATACAGTTGACACGTGGACAGATCAAGAAAAACTGCTTTCCTCTTATGTGGTTTAAAATTTCATAACATATGCCAGTATTTCAGAAAATGAACAATCCCCCTCATCAGCATTTGACTCAGTCTGGTTGATCTTAATTTAAATTTATGCATAAATTATTATCTTAACTTTGAGTCAATATACCAACACTTTATACTGTTTCATTGGTAACATATAGGAAAAATGACTATTACTCATACGTAATCTAAGCACAACCACAAGGGTTCCTCATGGGCATTTTAGCTACGTGGTATTGAATGTTACCTGTTCTATCTTGTTTCCCCCTTTGTTTTTTGTTTTTATTTTAACCTGTTCACAAACCAATAACTTATACATGGACTTTTTGAACCATACGTTGCAGGTATTACTGCAAATTGTTTTTCCAAAAAAAGGTGAAGAATCTGTTTTGTAGAAAAGAACTCTGCTCTAAAACAAAGAGGAAAAGTATGATACAGTGAATATTTGTGTTCTTGTTAAAGAGTCATCAGGGTCTAACATCTTGGGTATCTAAAATACAGTACATATTTTATTATAGGCTAGGATGTTACGACTATCAAAGTGACTATCAAAGCTATTAGTCTTCTGCATTCTTTGATGAATTCGGAACAATTTAGCCTTTTCTTTCTTGTGGAGGCATCTAGCTCCCATTAAATGGAAATACAGCAAAGAATCAGGGTCCAGATGATGGTTTGCCGAGTGGTGACATGTGATGCAGGCTTTGTTAAGAGTGTGGAACCAATAATTCTTAATGATCTTCATGGCAGAGTGAGGATTTGGACCTGTTCCCCGATTCTAGCCCAATACTCTTCTCACTAGACTGATGTTTTCTAATGGTGCTAAGTTTTGTGAGTGAGTAATTCCTTATGCTTGTCATATATTTTTTTCAAGACTCATTGTGTAGGATCGTGCCAGCTGCCTAGGCTGCCTCCAGATTCGGTGGCTACCAGAAGTATTCACTTTTTCAGTGTGTACATCACACTGTATGTTCTTTATGCACCATGACATTCTGCTGTAGATCAAGCCATTTGAGGTTCAACACACATACAATAGAATGTGCATGCTAGGTGCCATCCTCCCCCTTTTAATCAGTAATTAAATTGATTAAATGCTCTTGCACCATAAATTACCGTTATAGCAGCAGGGTATTATAGCACTGTACTTCTCTTTCATAAAGTGTTTTAGCGGAAATTTAAAAATTGGTTTTTTAAAAATAAAACGGTATGTTCTGAGCTGTGATAGGTTTATTTCTGGAAATGTCACTTCCCACCTCTTAAACACCCCCTCTGGAAAAAACAGAAGAGTAACACTTAAAGGCATCTAGTGGAGATTGAACCACTCTTCCGTGCTTCTAAAAAAGGGCAGGCTTTCTTTCAGTCTGAAAAAAGATAGAAGAACCTCGGGGGTGATACAGAATGACAGTGATTAGATGACACTGTTGTGTGGATATACAGTAAAAAGTGAATGAAGCTTGGGAATTCCACACTATAGATACCTAATGTGAAAGTAGCGTGGTAAGTTGTATGATACCTTATGTGAAGTGCTTAGCAAGATCTGCCTGAAACTGATATATAAATTCTGTAAATAAGAATAATAATAGTTGGGATCCTTTCAGCAATATTTGGATTTTATTTTGACATATTAGTTTGACAGGGTATCTGTCCTAAAGTAATCTTCACGCAGTTCTGCAAAAACTTGCATAATTGCACTAGACTAAACCATTGCCAAAAACATATTCCTAATTGATATTATAGCTTTTGTTCTGGCTTGCTGTTTGTAGCTATGTCTTAAATATCCAGCCTGTTGGTTTTAGGAACACACACTGCCTCAGTGAACTGACAGGGTATAACACCTGCTTTCATAATAGCCACATTTAAAGTTATTTTCAAATGCACAAACACAACAACAAATATGGCAGATAGATCTTCCCCACAGGCATTCATTCTTCTTTGCCACAGGTCAGGATTTCATTTTGTCAATAGTGCTTGCCAATCATTTGTGTCAAATCTCCTTATCCAGGAGCATATAAGTAATAAGACTAGAGTAATTCAGTCTCCTGTAATCTTTATATGGGATACGATTGTTTTTCCTCTCGAAAGAATGCTAGAGGAAATGTATAGAAAGTTGCATAGCTGAAAGCTCTCCTTAGCTTGCTAGAAAGAGGCTATAGCAGATTTTTCCACCGCTAGGGAAGATCTTGTTAACCAAAGGGTGGTAGCCAGGATGTTCTTAACTGTAGGATTAAGCATTCATTGGAATCCTCACTTGATATGGTCTCCAGTTTAATCAGGACATTTTCCAAGTACTTGCCAGCGGATTGAGTACCCGAGTTGCATTAAGTTATTTTAGTTCACATCTTTCATCTTCCTTGCTCATGTATTGAAGCATTAGGGGTCATAAAATGAAAATGTGTATCTTCTCTTCTTGAAGCAGTCACTTAAAGATCATGACGGTTTATCTTTAGTTGTTGGCTGTAGCATCACCATTAGGTCTCTGTAGTTTAAGGCTACTTTGCTTAGTCCCTGCTTAGTCCCTGCAGAACAGCACTATGAACTCCATTGTTCTGCTGTTTTATTAAACAGCTTAATTCAGGTAAAGCTTCAAATTCCTATCCCTGCATTTTCGCATAGTCAAGATAGATACAAGGTAGTCGTTTATATGAAATTGGGGAATATGTCTTCTTTTATTGCTCCTCCTCCTCTGACTGTCTTAAATAGGAATTTAGCGCTGCATGCAGTCCTCTGCCTCTCCCCTCTCAGTTCAACAGCCACTTGTCTCAAAGATGAATGTATAATACTCTGTTTCTAAAAGCAGCTTTCAGAATGGCATTAAACATATCATTCACACCCCAAAACCTGCAGATTTTTGAGCCACATTGAGTTGAATCCATTATATTCTGTTTGTATGTGAGGGAAGTTGTATGTTTTACATGCTGATGCTCTCGTATGAAATAGCGTTGCATTCAATTGTTGGAGGTTAAGCAAAGTAGACACTGGAAAAAAATTAGTACTTTGCTTTTGAGTTCATTTAATTTGGTTTAAAAATTTTCTATGTCTCTTTTGCTACTGTGTATCCTAGTTTATCTCTTGTTAGGTTGTACTAAACCAGTTACCTTAGTACAGTGGTGCCTCGCAAGACGAAATTAATTCGTTCCGCGAGTTTCTTCGTCTAGCGAATTTTTCGTCTTGCGAGGCACGGTTTCCCATAGGAATGCATTGAAATTCAATTAATGCATTCCTATGGTCAAAAAAAGTCCAATCAGAGCCAAATTTGGTACAACAATAGTTTATTAACTGCTCTTTAAAGTCACACATACTTTAAAGAGCATATCAAAAATTGAAGGAACAATAAATTAAGTTTCTAAACATGACAGAAAAACATTTAAAAATCAACAAAGTGTACTGTACATACATTTTCTAAGACTCTGGGGACCACTCAAAGAAGGTTCCTCTTCCACTCTTTGCTTCTTGCTGAGGAACCTGTCCATGGTCTGCTGCTTCATCCGCCTTTTCAGCAGCTCCCTGAGAGGCAACATGACCGTCGTATCAAAAGTGTTCGCTTGGTCATGTGCCACGTGCTTGTTAGGGTGGTGCCGCTCTGCAAAAGCCTGCACCTCCTTCCACTTCTGGCAAATGTCCCTCAGTTCTTTGGAGGACGGCCGTTCCTCAGTTGCTTCCTCCTCTTCCAGCGAGGCCTGCTCCTGCGCAACCTCTGACTGCAGTTCAGCCAGCTCCTGGGTGGTCAGCTCGTGGTCGTGCTCCTCCACCAGCTCGCAGATGTCCTCCTCTGTGACCTCCAGGCCCATGGTCCTCCCCAAGGCAACAATGTCCTGCACCACTGTTGACTCTGGTGCATCAGAGTCACTTGGTGCCACACAGTCCGGCCATAGGCTGCGCCAAGCGCAATTCAAATTTCTCTGGCTGATCCCGTTCCAGGCCGTGGTGATCATCTTCAAGCAGGTGACAATGTCGAAGTGGTCCTTCCAGAATTCCCGCAGGGTGATGGTGGTGCAATCAGTCACCTCAAAGCATCACCTGAAAAGCTCCTTGGTGTAGAGTTTTTTGAAATTGGCGATGACCTGCTGATCCATCGGCTGGAGCAGTGGCGTGGTGTTAGGCGGCAGGAACATGATGTTGATGAAGCTGAACTCCTCCAACAAGTCCACCTCAAGGCCTTTAGGATGAGCAGGAGCATTGTCATCAGAAGCAAAGCCTTCAGCGGCAGGTCGTTGTCCAGCAGGTACTGTTTGACAGCAGGGCCAAAAGCAAGATTGACCCAGTCCACAAACAGCACACGTGTGACCCAAGCCTTGCTGTTGGATCGCCACATGACACTCAGCCGCTCCTTGTCGACCTTGTGTTTCTTGAAGGCCCGTGGGTTCTCCGAGTGGTACACCAGCAGGGGCTTGATCTTCAGGTCGCCGCTTGCGTTGGCACAGAAGAGCAGGGTCAGGCGGTCCTTCATGGGCTTGTGGCCAGGCAACTTGGCCTCCTCCTGTGTGAGGAAAGTCCTTTTGGGCATCCTCTTCCAAAACAGCCCGGTCTCGTCGCAGTTGAAGACCTGCTGTGGAACGTAGCCCTCTGTCTTCACAGCCTCCAGGAACTCCAAGGCAAAGTCTTCAACCGCAGGAACATCAGAACTGGCAGCCTCTCCATGCCTGACCACGCTGTGGATTCCAGATCTTGCCTTGAACCGGTCAAACCAGCCTCTGCTTGCCTTGAAGACTTCTGGCTCGCCTGAGGTTCCTGGCTGTTCCCGGATGAGGTCTGCATGCAAGGCCTTGGCCTTCTCACAAATGATGGCCTCAGTCACTGTGTCCCCTGCACCCTGCTTCTCTTCTAACCAGATGAGCAGCAACTTCTCGACCTCCTCCAGAACAGCTGGGCGGTTCTTCACGATCCTGGTGACTCCCTTGGCTGCATCAGTCGCAAGGATCTTCTCCCTCATCTTCAGGATGGTCCCGATGGTCGATGGGTTCCTGCCGTACTCCCTGGCGAGGTCCGTCACACGCATTCCACCGTCGTGCTTCCAGATGATCTCCTTCTTCATTTCCAGCGTCACCTTCTCCTTCTTCCTCTCGCCGGCCTCCGCAGCAGCAGCAGTCTTCTTGGGTCCCATGGCAGCATAGCTCTTACCTTCGTAAATTCAGAAAAAGAAAAAAAAAATCAGCAATTCAAACCCAGAACCAAGTCCTTGAATTCCAAACACCCAACCCAAAATCCAAAAACCCCAAAAAAAAGTTTTAAAAGTTTAACTTACGAAATGGCTGCAAATCACCAAAGTCTTCAAAATCCTCAAATGGCTGCAAAATAAGTTTTGGGAAAGCTTTAAAAATCACCAAAGTCTTCAAAAACCTCAACTGTTCCCCCAGCCCCTCCCCAACTGTTGCAAACCCCTCCCCAACTGTTGCAAACCCCTCCTCAACTGTTCCCCCATCCACCCAGCACACAGAAATTCAAACCCAGAATTTTTTTCAAAAAACAACAACATGGCCCAATGGTCACAGAAAACCATAAAAATTCAAAAAAACCCACACAAGCTTCCAGATTCTTGCAAACCCCTCCCCAGCTGTTCCCCCAGCCACCCAGCACACAGAAATTCAAAACCCAGAATTTTTTTTCCAAAAAAACCAACATGGCCCAATGGTCACAGAAAACCATAAAAATTAAAAAAAAACCACACAAGCTCCCAGATTCTTGCAAACCCCTCCCCAGCTGTTCCCCCAGCCACCCAGCACACAGAAATTCAAAACCCAGAATTTTTTTTCAAAAAAAATATAAACATGGCCCTATGGTCACAGAAAATCATAAAAATGCAGAAAAAAACCACACAAGCTCCCAGATTCTTGCAAACCTCTCCCCAACACCAAGTCCTTGAATTCTAAACACCCCAACCCAAAATCCAAAACCCCCCCAAAAAAGTTTTAAAAGTTTAACTTACCAAACAGCTGCAAAAGAAGTTTTGGAAAAGCTTCAAAAAATCAGCAAACTCTTTAAAAAGCTCAAAAAGGCCACCACACCGCGTGCAATGTGTTGCTCCTCAAAGTCAAGTCGCAACTGCACCTCTTCCAGCAATGCACCCTGGGTATTAACGGTTTTACAAAAAAGGAAACAAACTTGCAAGACGTTTTCGTCTTGCGAAGCAAGCCCATAGGGAAATTCGTCTGGCGAAGCAACTCAAAAACGAAAAAACCTTTCGTCTTGCGAGTTTTTCGTCTTGCGAGGCGTTCGTCTTGCGGGGCACCACTGTATCTTTTAAAATGTCTTATCTTTTGCCCTTTTACAGAAACACTTTTCATGTTAGTGTACAACTTTTCACAGTAATATGATCCAATTTTTTAGCTATTGGAGTTGCAAACGGTTCGCTTTGTCATAGATTTACACTTTCTTTGAATAGTAACTGTCTGAAAGACTGATATTTATCTTCAGCAAATATGGAGGCTAAGTGAAAGACTTCAGCACTTAGTTTCATAGTCATTGGTGGCTATTGTATTTGGTCATTTTAATGTGCATTGAACACACGTTCCTATGACTGTTGCCCCTTTCTTTCCTGCTTGTGTCAGTTTAATACAAGCTTCTTGAATAAGGGCCCATTTGTATTTATCATTTAACAACTCTGATACATTTTAGAAATATAAATAATATACCGAAGATTTTTCCTGATAGATTCCTCAGTGGTGCGTTGATTATATGCGGTCACTGCCGGGGCCAAAGAGAGGTGTTGCTTGTACCCAGCCCAGAAGAGTTGCCGCAATGAGTGTGGCCCAGCGTGTTGCTGATGAGATGGATGTCATGTTAGGACAAGAAGTTGGGTACTCTATTCGATTTGAAGACTGCAGTAGTGCAAAAACTATTCTGAAGTAAGTATTGAATGCCACCCTTTCCTAAAATCAACCATCTTTTGGGGGGGGGGGGGAGAGGCTTTCGAAATTGCTTGCTCGCTAGCTTGGGAAGAGCTGTGAGCATTCATGTCTGTTCTATTCAGTGCATGTAGAAAGTAACAACTACATTATGCTGTAGTACAGTGGATCACATTTATTTGACCATGGTGTCTCTCAGACCACCCAGTCTGTTCCTGGAGGTTCTCATGAACCTGTTCTCCGGTTCCATGGCTTTTAAAGGGGAAAAGCTGTGTTCAAAACCTGCATGTACTATGGGTGTCCTTGCGTGAATGCAAAGAGATGAGGGATATAAAAAGAAAGAGATAAAGAAATGAGGCTAGAGCAGAGAGCAGCACTTCCCAAACACTGTACTATGAGAGAACGGTGGGAGTGCAGTGAGGAAAAAACAAATTAGAGGTTTCTTTTGAGACCCATGTACCTATCCACAAAGGGGACTACTTGCTGCATCTCTATATGACTCATTGTTCTGTCCCAGAACAGAGACACTTGCAGATAGGTTCCACTCGGCATAGATAAGTTTACATTCTCCAAATGCAGGCAAGTATTGCCTGTCAGAAATACAAAGACCATTGACCTGGGGTGTCTGCAGTATGTTTTTAATGGCTAGGCTAAAGAAAAATGCACAAATTCTGTGCAAGGGATAAAGTGCAAATGTCAAAGTGCAAATAGATAAATAGGTACCGCTCCGGCGGGAAGGTAAACGGCGTTTCCATGCGCTGCTCTGGTTCGCCAGAAGCGGCTTAGTCATGCTGGCCACATGACCCGGAAGCTGTACGCCGGCTCCCTCGGCCAATGAAGCGAGATGAGCGCCGCACCCCAGAGTTGGCCACGACTGGACCTAATGGTCAGGGGTCCCTTTACCTTTATATATACCAGAAATATGGTCGTGATGGAGAGGGATCTGTGTGGTATTTCTTGCTTTCATCACTGTCAAACAGGAAAGCTGGCAATGACATTGCACTTCCCCTAAGCAGCTAGACATACCTTGCTGCCATTATTAACATTATTAACTCATGACTATATCAACCAAGATTGCAAGGAAACAGTAAGTGTGGTGCTAACACTGACAAAAAACATTGGACTGTGTGCAATTTAATCCTTTCAAGTTCAGGAAGAAGCAGATAGGAGAAAGTTAAGAGCTTTTTCTGTATGAAGTAAGGAAAGGAGAAAAACATCCTGTATCTGGGATTAAAATATTGGTTTCCTGTTCAGGTACATGACTGATGGTATGTTACTACGTGAAGCTATGAATGACCCTTTGCTGGAACGTTATGGAGTCATAATTCTTGACGAAGCCCATGAAAGAACACTGGCTACCGATATTTTGATGGGAGTTCTAAAAGAGGTTGTAAGGCAAAGATCTGATTTAAAGGTCAGTAGTATATATCAAATGTAGAATGTTGGAAAACGCGTTTGTAGAAGATGTTCTCACTACTGGATTGCTTTTCACATGGTTAAATAAGGGTTGCATTTTGTATGTGTGCTTGAAATTTGTTCATAGTGGGAACTTTTGTAATTCATGGAAAACCTTAGGTTATAAGTAATATTTTAGCAACTTTGTTCACCCCTTTCTTCCCCAATGTTTGCTTTATTAAACACACAGTACTATCCTGTGTGTATTTATTCAAAAGCAAGTCTCAATGAATTCCCAAGTGAGTGTACATAGGATAGTAACTTAAGCAAATGCGAATGTGACGGTGTGATCATGTTGGTTTTGATATTCACGTTGCATTTTAGTGTACCTAAGAATTGGTATGTGGGAGCCACCTTCCAAATAACACCTTTCCCCTTTAATATTGCAGGTTATAGTTATGAGTGCAACTCTTGATGCTGGCAAGTTTCAGATTTATTTTGACAACTGCCCTCTCCTCACTATTCCTGGCCGTACGCATCCTGTGGAGATCTTTTATACCCCAGAACCGGAAAGGGATTACCTTGAGGCAGCTATTCGTACAGTAATCCAGATTCATATGTGTGAAGAGGAGGAAGGAGATCTTCTACTTTTTCTTACTGGGCAAGAGGTATTTTTGAGATTTTTCAACAGTGGCAGAGTTTCATAAGAAAAGCTCTGTGTGGATTACAGTTGAAATACACTAAACGGACAAACAGTAGTTAAAATGTAGACTGAGAAAAATAGTACTTGCATCTCAAGGAGAATGTGCTTCCTCTTTATTAATTTTTGCATAACCTCATAGCTGGCATCTGCTCAGGACTTTATACTCAAGAGGGTTTTTAAAAATTATTTAAAAGGTTTCATTTCAAAACGTTGCATTTACTGGAATCAAAGTCATAAGAGGCTATCTGTGAATATACTTCACAAATGTAACACCTTAGATTTCATTGTTACATTCAGAAGGTTTCCCCCTTGCAGAATGGCTGTTTCACTAGTGGGATGAAATTTGTGCATGTTACCCCAAATAAATTTATAACCAATCTAAACAAAAGATTGCTTTTAAAAGGCAAGATTGGAAAAGAGATTTCTATTTCTGTAAAAGTTTCTAATTTGCTGATTCCCCTCTTTAAACCTTTCTAGATGTGTAGTGTTATTATTTAAGGTGATGTGCAGGCCACTTTTCAAAGGTTCTAAATGTGTAAACTGCGTGTAGCATATCTGTTCAATTCTGTCTTCTTGCAGTAAACTCACAGCGTTTTCCACTTCTAAACTACCTCATCTAGGTCCTGTAAGCAAATCCCTTATTCATGTGGGGTTTCAGTTATTGTATCCTCTTTGTACTCTAAAAACAGATACAGAGAACATATAGACAAAGCAAATGTTGTGCTCTGAATATGGTGTCTTCCCCAAAGTCCTGATCTGACCGCGAAATCAGCAGCACAGCTGTGAAATAATGCTATTGCATGTACTTAATTTGGAGGAAGTCAAAGACAATTTGAAAACAGTTTAAAATGGTTTTCTTCACTGTTCTGCAAGAGAGATTCCCACATATTTTCTCTTTCACAACATCCTCTCAGTCCAGTATTTGGCCCAGATCATCCCACTAGGTTGCAGATGGGATCAGGAGGAATCCATCCTGTATCATTAAATGACCCATAATGAAATTCCTTTTTCTTTCTGTTCCAACGAGTTCCAACTTAATACTTGAGTAATCCAAGTTGCTACTTTCTCTGCAACAAGATAGGAGGATGCAATTGAAGTGGGAAAACCTGAACGTTTTCTGCTTGACATAATATCTGCAATCCCTATCCACAGTCTTGGAATATTGAGGCGGGACGTGGAGTGCTTTACGGTGGCAGTTTCTGTGGCTCACTGTGTGATTGCAGATAGTAGTGAATGTGCTGAGGTATCCCTCCCCTACGGCTTTCATTAACTTAAGTCTCTTGCTGCTTGCTGGCACATCTGAGTTGGGAGCAGTCACCAGTGTCCTTAGTCATTTGATTCAGCAGTATGGTTTCCCCCAGTTAAAGAAGCTGTGCTCCTGACTGGCTGGACACATGAAACAGCAATTCAATTGCTCTCTCCGTGTGAGGTGAGCTGTATGCTTCTTCGTACATTCTTTCCGTGTGAAAGAAGCTAAAGGGATAAAGAGCCTGGTGTGTGGAACTCCCATTTCTCTAACGTTCCAGCAATGTGATTGCAGAACCCGTTGCAAAAGCGAACCCTGGCTCTGGTGCACGGGGACAAGGTGTAAAAGAAGATGTTGTTGTTGGGACTTGCATTCAGCACAGTATTAGTATTTCCCTCCCTGACATGCCACCTTCTGCAGTTGTAGGTGCTGAAGAAGTTCTTGATCGGTTGTAGCCATTTCTTTTTGATTAGGGGGCTGTGCTCACCTTCATATAAAATGTCAGAAGGAATGTACAGATCCCTAGATCTTGTAGTCTGTTGCAGCTATTTCAGACTTAGCTGTGCTAGAGATACGCAGTATAAAAAGCCGCACTAGCCTTTAATGTCCTGCAGGTACTGGAAGATCTGGAGCAGGTTTGGCTAGGGCCCTGATTTGGAGCAATATCTGTAAACCACATTTCTTCCTCCTGGATCAAATGGAACAGATTCACCTTAGCACAGTCAGCTGTGTGACAGTAAAAATAAATTTCAATATAACAGGTTGTGCTTTGCCGGTCATACTTCACGGCACAACCTGGAGGTGCAAGAAAATAGCTTTATTTTGTGTATTCTGCTGATTTTTGAATTAATAGACAGGATTGCTCTAATGTGCTGCTGATAAAAACGTATGCCCATGAGACATGTTGGCTTTGCTGCTTCAAACTTTGGATGTGCAGTTGCTTCATTTGTCAAACATTGTAAGCATGTATGTCAGAAGAGACTTTCAGAAAGACAGTTTGAAATTTGTAACATTTTTCTAAATTGTATGTGACTAGCAGCAAGACAAGAAACATCCTGCACAAACAACTACAGTAAAGACAAAGTAGGACCTGAGGAATAAATCTTTTTGTAAAAACATGTGTAGAAAGTGAATTGACCGTTCAGCTTATGCACTGCTCTTTGATGTAAACCGCAAGAGAGATGGATATACTGCGAAGATTTCTTCCGTTGCTTTAAATTGCCTAGCAAATGACTTGCTTTCCATACTGCACCCTTGTGTACTCATTACAACTAGACACATAAGCAAGCCATTTCAGTTGTCCAAATGTTCAGTTGCATCTTCCCATTTTTAACTTTCCAAGGAAGCACCTGTACTAACACAGTAGCTAGCCCTAAGTACGTTTAGGACTAACACTAATGTGTTCTGACAGTTAACTAATGTATTCTGCTGCAGCTGAAGACAAAAGGCATTTATTTGATGGCAGATTGAAGTATCTATAGAAACCCTAACTATATTTCCATCCTTGGTGGAGTTGAAACCCAAGGAATTGCGTATACACTACATAATAATTAATTCTCCATTGATTTTATGATCGATTTAGAGGTTAGGAGAGGCTAATTACTGTTATAAAAAGTAACCTTTAGTCCAGATAGTCTTAATCTTTTTATTATATTCTGAACCATTTTCCTATATAGATATTCTTTTATGTTGTGACTGTCATGTGGGAAGACAGCAGGGGAAAAAATCTGAATTAAAATTTGGCTGCTTCTGCACTGTGGTATAGCTGGTATTATGTACTTCAGCCAAAAGACAGAGCTCACAGTATGAAGAGAGGAAAGGCATTGTTAGAGATCGTGTAGCAGTCAAATTACTACTAGTCCATTGATTCTTAAACTGCAACAGCCGCATGGTAGGTTGTTTGAAAGACCTTTGTGGCGGCCATTACATGAGACAGTTGCTCACAGTGTCAATTGCTCTGATGGTGCCTTTTCAAAGGCTTTACAAAAAGAACTGCTTTTCAGCATGTTCTTTCAGGTGGTTGGTAAGACAAGAGCATTAGACTGCTTGTGGTCACTTGGGCTGCAGTTTAGGAAACACTGCTCTAGTTGTATTCTGTTACCTGTTAGGGGGCTTCTGCGGCAACACTTTCCACCTGGCTATACATATATTCAAATGTATGCACAGTGTGTCAGCTGTGAAAGGCTATTATGTGTATATTTGCAGCTTTTTGCCTTTTACATGTTTGGAATTGGGAGCACTGTCACTGTTTCCATGCCTATACTCAAGTGTATACCCAAGTACAGAACGTTGCATTAGAAGCTATTCTTGATTAGCCAAATCCCGTGGGCAAAATGAATCTGGACAAAAATTTTAATGGTATTTCGAAGGACTTCCAAAGATCTCCTTGTGAGAAACGCCTTAGCTTTTTGTAAAAAGTCTCATATCCTACTGTGGCTTGTTGTTATTGCTTTGGGTTCTTATCATTTCCTGTCTTCCCATCCAATATAGTTGATAATATCGACTTCCGATGTCGGAAGCTTTGAGCTACTATAGACCGGTGCTGCATATGTAAATGGGTATTTTATTTAAATGTCAGATACAAACCAGCATGTTCACATGTTGATGTGTAATAATGTGAATTACTTCAAGGCTGGGACTTCCTCAGCCTTGTTCTCCATAGTTGAGGTGTCCTGGAATTGGAAACTTTGTGGTTGCTGGTCAACAGAGTAGAAGTACAGACGCTCCTCAAAGTGTCACACAGGAAGAAAAGGCTGCTGAGCAAAATACTTTCCTTCCATTCTCCTTGGGGAGCCAACACTTCAGCTCATTGGTGTGCCCAGAAGAAACAAATATCTTAAGAGTCTGTCACTGTTGCTTAGCAACCTTTCTTGGAAGTGCAGAGAGTCCTATGTCGTAGCTTTGGTGGCCCTGTTTTCCACTCTGAGCTGTGGAAGAAAGATGCTTGTTCATAGTAGCACTTGCTATTCCAATAGTGCCTTTGCTCTTTTCTGTAGCAGCAATGGCAGGACCCAACCCTGTCAGTAATTGAGGGGGCTTGCTGTGACCTCTTATTTCCTAGCAGATTCAAAAAAGCAAACTATAAAATCTTCCTCTGATTCTAGCACATATTAGGAGAACTGAACTTACTATAAGATCATCTGGTTATTAACCATGAAATTACCTCCCTGCCCATTTTGAATTCATATTTTGTGTTCTTCTAATCTGACATCTATAGGTTTTACAAACCTACTACGGTGATTTCCACATTCTAAAATGGAAAGTTCAAATTCTTCTGCTTTAATATTTTAAGTATTGAACATGTCTGTTGAGTGAGCGCTTTTATATAAGAGTCTTGGGTTCCACCAAATAATCTTAACCACATTGTTTGATGCATTTGAACTAATGTGGTCACAGTATGCATTCACTGTAATTAGAACACATAAAATACCTATTGTGAAGCAGGGGATATTAGAATGCATGGCTTATTGTTTCTGTTCTGTAGCAAATTACTATGAGGCTAACAAACTTTGCATGTTACTGGATATATATCATAAGTTTATTGGGTTTTGGCTTCACCTGTTTTGAAACTATTTTTTTGACATAACTAGAAAGTTGTCTGAACTTTTTAAACATTTCAGCAGCTCAAAATACCTAAATCATAGCTTTACACAGTAACTATATTTTTTGTTTCTAGTTTAGTAGACCAGTAGGGGGCATCCTAACCCAGAGTGATAGAGGTATTTCTTTTTACATTGAAATCATTTTTGCAAGAAAGCACTAAGAAACTAAAAAAAGGTTTCTGATTTCAAAAAGGTATTCATGCCATTCCAGTCCCCCTCTTAATATTTTAGACTTTTTTTGTAGCAAGGTCTATTGACGTATAAAGTGATCAGTAGGTGGTGTGATTCTAGATTGTTGAATAGACCACGAAACAAAAGACAACTACATCTTCATTGAAGTCTTGATTGGAAAATAAGTGGTAGAACCATAATTTCTGTAGCAGCTCTCTGTATAAACTGCATGGTACATGCTTCACTATATCTTGACTTTTAGTGTTGTTTAAGAGAAACTACTGCTACTCATTCATTTTTTTTCATCCGTTTTAGTATTAAATAATGTGGTAATAATGTGACAATTCATGTTTTTCTGTACTTCCCACCATAGGATAGGTTAATGGGTGAGACTTCCTCAGAACTTTAGTAATATCTTAGCTTGTTGATAAATACCTTGAAGTTCAATAACACTGTAGCCTTCTACATGGGAAGATACAAAACAATTTTTAGTAAGAGTTCTGAGGTCTTTCATAAACCATGTTAACTTGGACTGAGAGGAGGCTGCTTCTTGAGCATCTATGTTTATACTGTAAAGGTGTTTGTTCTCATTAGATACAATGAAGCAAATCTTCCATATAATTGCATTAGTGATACGTGACATTAAAGCTTAATTGGCTTATTTAAAATATCTTGCACATCAATTTCTTTTAGATTCTGAAAATTGAAAAGGTCATGAGTGCAGTTTAATATTCCTGGGTGAGAGATTTCAATTTTAGTACAATTTGTAGAGAATTAATTAGGAAATACGACTAAAAGAAAAAGGGTGTTGAATGCAAATAAGGCTGTTATGCTCATTGGAATAAAGACTATGAGGCATCTTGGACTGCTGTGGAAGTCCCATTGAAAATTCAACAAATGTCCAAATTAGTTTAAAAATAACTTGTTTTGTAGCAAGTCGTCTTCTTTTTTTAAAAAGCTTATATAGCCATTAAGCTGGAAAAAAGTTTAAAGTTTTCATGGACTCTTGTTTGTGTAGGAAATAGATGAAGCCTGTAAGAGGATAAAGCGTGAAATTGATGATCTGGGCCCTGAAGTTGGTGACATTAAAATCATTCCATTATATTCTACACTTCCGCCGCAGCAGCAACAGAGGATTTTTGAGCCTCCCCCTCCAAAAAAAACAAATGGTGCAATAGGACGAAAGGTAAAGTTATTAACACTATTATCCTATACCCGTTTAGATGAGAGTTAGTCACATTGAAATCAGTGGAACTTATTTCAGAGTAGACATGTATAGAATTACACTGTATACATTTTATAGCTTGGCATATATTGCCGTAATCTGGTTACTGTGCATCGCAAAAGAACTTAGCTTTGAGCTTCACATGCTAAAACATCTAATATTTGGGAAATGTGGTCCAGTTTCCTTTCTCATCTCTCACCCTTTGTGTCTTTCCAGCTGATTTTAGGGTGCTGTGATGTTTAAGTTCATCATTTGTGATTTCCGCAGTGTTCTTTTCTTCCACGTGGCAATCAGAGCGTTTAGCTTTGTCCTGTAAACAGGAGTGAATCATGTTGTTTAATTTTAAAAATAAGGAAATCAGTGAATTTTATTTGTAATCATTAATGCATTAACTTTAAATGCATGATTTGAAAGATTTCAGTGAAACAGAATTTTAGAAATAGCTTCAGTAGAGGGGTGGGAAAAGGAGAAGCTTAGGGAGTTGCCATTGATAATGGGAATATGCAGTTTGAGAATTGGATTGTTGTGTTATTTCTCAAACTGATGTTTCAAGGCACGTTGCGGGGCCAAAGCAGCCTTGGGTGTGATTTGGCAGACTTATAGTTGTGAGTGTTATAATGAGGTTTTAAGTTCAAAGTAGCCAGAAGCCAGAAACCCAACATTTTTAAAAAATGAGTAATCACGTGGTATGGTGATCTAATACGGGTTTCTTCAACCTTTTCCGTTCTGGGACTCGCTTTTAACCCAAACATGCGTTGGGGGACCCAGTTCTTAATTGTTGACCATATATTTGCATGGTGGTAGTGCTCCTGTTGTGACCCACCTTGGATCAGGGTGTGACCCACCTTGGATCAGGGTGTGACCCACAAGTGGGTCCAGCTGCACCATTTGAAGACCTGTTATCTAGAATAAAGAGATGAGATGTTCTTATCTCTGAGCTGCATTCTTTCAAGGCTCTGCTTTGTCCTCCCAGCTTCAGCTGTTAGAAAGAGTGTGGGGCTTGGGATAACAACTGACAGAGTGGTCACAACAATAATTCTGCTCATGTTAGCATGCCCTAGATTGTTGTTCAGCAGTGGGTTGAAGGGAACGTCTCCCTGAAAGTAAGGTATGCTTGCTTGTGTTTGGAGACCTCACCCACGTTGAATGATGCAGCTGGGTTACATAATGTGGCGATGCTTATATTGCAGGTGGCAACAGAATAACAGTGAAAGCTATTCTCGTTTGCAAGCAGAAACCCTTGTAGCATGGCCTATTTGCATTGGCTTTCCCATTCAGACTACCAGGCCATTCTGGGGAAGCCACACACACTCTATAACTGATGTAATACATGACATCAGAGATGTAGCAATGGCAGAGGAAGGGGGAGGAAAGGAGGATGATTCAGGCAAGAGCGGAAGAGGGGAGGTTGAAGCTGAGAATAACCTCTCCCCACCCTAGAGCTCTACTAAGGTACACACTCCCAGCTCCTTTTTGCAGGGCTTGTTTAAACCTCTGAGGTTTGAAGGAGGTTACAATGAACAGTGTGGGTGGAAAGTCCTTTGCAGAGCTGATTACAATGGGCTTTCAAGCAGCCCGTGTTTGAAATCCCGACAAAAAGGCTTCAAAGTGCGGCAGCGCCTGACATCACTACGTTTTTGCCCTATTTGTATCATTCACAGAAGAGTTTTCTATTCTATCGTTCAACAGGTAGTTGTGTCAACTAATATTGCTGAGACATCATTGACAATAGATGGTGTTGTGTTTGTCATTGATCCTGGATTTGCCAAGCAAAAGGTAAACATGGATTCTTTCATACGTGCTAGATTATTTCCCCAGAACTTAAGATGGAATTACTTAGAATTGACCTGTCTTTGGTCTTCTTTTCTACTTTTTATGGTTAACGGGGTTAAATGTGTGGATCCGTAAGTGGAAGAAAAAGTAGGTAGAAGTGCTGTGCGACAAGTAGGCCAGTGCTATAAGAGTTCATGTTGTAGCACTCCTCAGTTTCTGGAAGAATATTTCTGATAGCACATGGTGCAGATAACGCCAGGATTGCAGGTTTGAGTCCTGTATGAGATAGTTGCATATTCTTGTGTTACGGGGGGGGTTAGACTAGATGATTCGCAGGGTCCCTTCCAGCTCTAAGATTCTCTGAGTCAATGAGGATTGAGTTACACTCAGTTACAAAACTCCAGTGCAGCATGTGAAAAGCCATTCTCGCTTGCTTTTAAAACCAGTTGTGACACCAACCTGCTTAGTAGATTATACTTCGAAAGTGAACAAAATAGTAGATATGGCTTAGTTTTGTTCCTTGTTTAACAAGCCACCTATTGGAATGGATTTCTTCTTACATATTTCATATTTGAACTTCGAAGTGTGCAGTACTCATACCAGTTTTCTGTACTTAACTCTTCCATCAAATAGGTATACAATCCTCGTATAAGAGTCGAGTCTCTCTTGGTGACTGCAATAAGTAAAGCTTCTGCTCAGCAAAGAGCTGGTCGTGCTGGTCGTACTAGGCCAGGCAAGTGCTTCCGACTGTATACGGAGAAGGCTTACAAAACCGAGATGCAGGTGCGTAAATTCCTTTTTTAAAGATCTACCGTATTTTTTGCTCCATAAGACACATCTAGTTTTTAGAAGAGGAAAACAAGAAAAAAAACATTCTGAACGAAACAGTGGATGTATGATTTTTGTGGTTCATGCTGTGGCCACAGACATGTGATTTGACGGTGAGTTTCGGGTAGCCCAATGCAAAAATCCTGAGAATCCATGTGGATCCGTTTTTGCGCCATTGCAGCCCCACACAACAGTGGGTGGGTGATTTTTTTGGTGCAGGCTGTAGCCATGGACATGCTATGTGATCTGATGGTGAATTTGGGGTGACCCAATGTAAAAATCCATGGGCTTTTACCTCCCCCCTCCCAGGCAGCTTCCTTTATCTCCCTTATCTCGCTTGCGATCAGCGGCTTTGTTTCAACACCCACTTCCCTCTTTCAAAAGAAAGAGCATGATCTGCTTTTCGCCCCTGGGCAATTCAGCTCCAGGGACCAAACATTCGCCCCATAAGACATTTCCCCTTACTTTTTAGGAAGAAAAAAGTGTGTCTTATGGAGCAAAAATTACAGTATTTTAGAAGCCAATTATTACACTAGAGTTTAATACAGGATGTCCAGCATTTTTTTAAAAAAATAATTCATCATCAAAAGACGTAATAATAGTCTCCCTTTGGAGCTGCGAACTATGTGTCATGCTAGACGACTTGACTGTCAGCCTTGTTAGATTATTTTGGTTGTGGAAGGTTGTGATATTCCTCTTCTGATACTACTTCTGCTTCTCGGATTGAAGATGTTCAACATTTTCATTTGCCTTGATCTCAAGTACAGCGCAATTCTGAGTGAGTCTCAGGTGGGGTGCAAGGAAGCAAGTCATCTGCTACTGCCAAAGTACTGCTAGTTTGTGCCAGTTGAGGCAGGAGGTTCAGGGAAGGATCCTGACTTGCCTCCCGCCTCCTCCCATAGGGATACTTTTTGTGTGTGCAATTCTCTCCCTTGGTTTTCAGTATGAGAAAGCTGCAGGCTGGTACGAATGAGGGGCTTGATCCTGGAGCCTCCCCGATGAACCAGTCCCTGCCCTTCCCCTAGAATACCCAATTCTGGTTTGAGGTATTTTGAGTTAAATTGCTGGCTGCTTCCAATGGGAACATCACTGGTGGTAGTTTTATGCCCATGGAACTTTACCATTGAATACTTAACAATTGCATACACACATACACAGATCTTCGCATAAACAATTGTGGCCGTTGTTGTCAAGCAAGGTAGAAGTGCCTCTTTATGGATTTTGTAAATAGGAATATTAATAAAGTATAAAAGGGTCTTTATTCCTGATTGCCCTGTAGTAGACCAGGATTTCTTAGCAAAAGAACAAGCCAGCATAAATTGAAATAAAGTTCCCATTTCTTTTCTTTACATTTCTAGTATAGAATAACTTAAGTTCACATAATTTTGCATAATTTTTGAGATGTGCTATGTAGTTTTGTCATCATTTTACTTCCAGATACTTTTCTAAACATTAATTTTTTAAAAATGACCTAGGTCTTGTTTCCATTTCATTGTAAAGTTTAACTTGCTCTGTTTTATGTTGCCCTTCATCTGAGAATTACAGGGTAGTTTACAATTTAAAAACACAAAAATGCATAATTTAGTAACAAACAACAACAATGATCTCTCTCTCCCCCCCCCAGTCTAAGTCCTGTTGAATAAATGAACATAAGTATATTAATGGACAGAGAACTATAGTTTAATTGTGTCTTGGGCCATTGGGACAGGTATAACAGTACCACATTTACAACCCCAGGTATGGCCCACTGAGGCTGTAGTCTTCTGTTCCAGCTGTGGATGCAGTCTTCATGCTTTTGGATAATGGGAAAAATTACAGATACGATACTAAAGTGAAACCAAAATTAATAAAATATTTGTTTTCCAGGACAACACCTATCCTGAAATTCTAAGGTCCAACTTGGGTTCTGTGGTATTACAGCTGAAGAAACTAGGCATAGATGATTTGGTTCATTTTGATTTTATGGACCCACCAGGTATGTTTTTTGTAAAAACTTCAACATGCAGTAATATAATAAGCAATATCTAGATCATTGTTTTGTCGGGAACTTTGCCGTAGCCTGAAATAAATTTGTTCCCTGAAGAGAATATACCATATTATCAGCCTAAACAGAAAGATGAGAAAGGAGTCCAGTAGTCACTAATCAGTATTCTTATGTCATGCTTAAAAAATGAAAGCCGCGATGCCTTTGCTAGCTTCCTGCTGAACTTGTGAATGTATGGCACATAAAATGCAAGACAGGTGTTATGATGATGAACAGCAGACTATCTAGCACAGGGGTCAGCAGACTTTTTAAGCAGGGGGCCGGTCCCCCGTCCCTCAGATCATGTGGTGGGAGCCGGACTATATTTTGGAAAGAAGAAGAAAAAAGAATGAATTCCTATGCCCCACAAATAACCCAGAGATGCATTTTAAATAAAAGGACACATTCTACTCATGTAAAAATCACGCTGATTCCTGGACCGTCCGCGAGCCGGATTTAGAAGGTGATTGGGCTGGATCCGGCCCCCGGGCCTTAGTTTGCCGACCCATGATCTAGCATGAGGCAACGGTCACCATAATTTGTTTGGGCCACAACTTGTTTTGGAATGTGGTGTTGATCCTGTGTTACAAGGTATTGTAACAATTTGGCTTTTAAAGTGTTTAGGGAAGGGCCACATCTCAGTAGTAGAAGATCTACTTTCCTGCATAAGGCATTAGGTTCAATCCCTGGGTATCTCCAGGTATGGTTGGAAAGGTCTCCAGTCTGAAATCGTGGAGAGCCACTCCACTGCCAGTCATTGCATACATTCTTGAGCTAGATGGATTAATGGTCCAACTCAGTAAAAGGCAACCTCCTGTGTTCCTGCTGAGTAGTTTTATGTTCTGGTGTATCCCTCCTCATGTGAGTAATGACTGAAGAAGGCTTGCAAAAAAATTTTTTATCAAAAGAAAAAACTTGCCATAGGTTTTGGCAAGTATTTTATGCCAAATACAGTTTCGTCAATATCCCGACTTACAGATGTATGAAATGGCTAGAAGAGAGTCTGCAGAACAGCATACCTATAGTCGGTCCCGAAATGGCTAATCCGAAAACAGATGTGATTCTTGTTGAACACAACCCTAAAGCAAATTTGAGTTTTATTTGATTCCTTGGTGGCTAGATCTCGGTAACTTAATTTTCTGGTAGATTGTATTCTGGATTTTGTCAGCTACAGAATGGAAAATGAGATTGCTTATAAAAGTGTACTTACATTTTTGCTTCCTAAAGGCAGATTAATTTATAAGAGTATGTTGGTTTTTTTGCAGCTCCAGAGACCTTGATGAGAGCACTTGAGCTTTTGAATTACCTAGCTGCTTTAAATGACGATGGAGACTTGACTGAACTGGGATCCATGATGGCAGAATTTCCTCTCGATCCACAGCTGGCTAAAATGGTTATAGCAAGTTGCGACTACAACTGTTCTAATGAGATTCTATCTATTACTGCCATGCTGTCAGGTAATAGCAGGGACAGAGATGCCAATCAAAACACAGATCTCCAGTTAGGGGAAGCTTGTATTATTGTTCCTGCAACAGGACTTATAACTTCTAAAAAGTCTGAACTGTGCCTTTCAAAGTTATTGTATAGTGTGATACATAATGGAGTAAAGTTTATAAATGAAATCAACACTGAAGCTAAAGAAGTCATTGTGTGTGAAATGGTCTAACTTCTCTCATGGCAGCAAAAAAATTATACCTACTAAGGATTCCAGATCATAGGAGTTCATTTCTGTCTCTTAAATTTTTAACTTATGCCCATTTTTTTTGTTACCAAGTGATTGATAGTCATAATAATCCACTTTATTTTCAGCCCTTTAACTTGTGGTCGCCACTTACATAGCTAGTATGTACCAGTTTTTCTGTAGAAGAATCCTAGCATAAACGTCTCAGGTTTTCATTGATAAAAGGGAATGCTAGGCGGAGAAAACATTTTCTTAGCATTAATGCGTCACAGTTTTTTAAAGTGTGGCCGATGCAGAAATTATTGTGTGGACTTGTCTGAGCAGCAGTCTTTTGTTACAGTGGACAAGTTTTCATTAGGGCTGGAATCCAAAGAGCTGCCTGGATGGATCCGAGGACTTGGGCCTGCTTAGTGGGATTTTTAAAACTTTGAGAAGCATCCCCAGCCATATCGCATGCTGCTTTTGAAAGTTGACTTCAGTTTCAAAAGTGGTTTGCACAGGGATGCTGCTGTTTGAGAAGCTCAAGCCCGGAGCCCTGTTTGACATGTGGAACTAGTATTTTCTTTGGGTACCAGCCTAAACCTTTAAAAATAACCTGCTCAGAATCTGTGCAGGTAAGGCAAGAAATACATATTTTGTACGTGCTGAAACCTTTCCCATAGTAACTTCTCATCGTATTGTACATTCAACAAGATGTCAACAAGATGGCAAGTAAGATAAAGGTTTTGAGTAAGACAACCCATCACTTTATTATTGCAGCGTATTAACAATATTTTTCAAAAAGCAAGCTACAATGTTTATTGCAGAATTTTGACAGTTCAGACTCAGAGCAGCTGGGCAGGGCAGAATCTAATTGTTTCATGTAAATTGTTGTTTTATCTGCGGAGGTGGTGGTAGGTGGATGCCTACCTTTTTATGCCATGAATTTCCATCAAACCAAGCAAAGACTTGATGCAAGCTCTTGCTTCCAACTGCATAGTATTAATTTCTTTAACTGCATATGTCAATATTTTGAGGGAAGACATTTTACTTTAACCTTGCCCTCTACAAATATTTAACAAAATATTCATACCTTCATGCTTTTAAAATTAAGAATGGATGCACTCATTATTTGTTACAGCATTTTATTACTAGCACACAATCTTAAAAAAAAATCTTATTCTAAGGGATAGCTATTTTCTTGGATGCAGTTAAGGTGCAGTGATTTCTAAAATCATGTTGCTTTCTAAAGTGTCGCCAACAGAATCAATAAACATAATTACAGTGAGCAAAATGTGAAGGGAGACCCTGGGTTTAGAGTACAGGACTATACCAGTCTACTCAGAAGTAAGTCACCCTGAGTTCCAGGTGTGTGGGTATAGATGTGTGCAAACAATTAAATGGACACAAGTGTTAGATAAAATGAAATAGGAAATAGTAAAGCTTACCAAAGCTACCCAAACTGAAGTAATTTTGATTCTTTAAACTAAAGCCATCATAAGATGCCTTTAAGCAGATGACAAAAAGTACAGCTTTTCATTCTACAACTTACAGTAAGAATACAACTAATTTTTATTTGTAAATACTAGTTATTACATCAGTGAATTAACGGCTTTTTGCCATAATGCTTTTTATTAGCCTTAGAGCCAAATAATTCAAATAATTTTCTGTCTTTGGAATACTCTATTTTGTAGAATAGACTTTGGTTCATAGTTTTTTTTAAATTACGCACTGTAAACAGTGTGGCTCTTGCAGTCCTTCGGTTGGCATATTGCAGTTGTGCAGAATATTCAATTTCCGTATTGTTATCAATCTTTTCCCAGTGTGTCTGCGCAGTTAGGAGGATGATAGACCAATTTAAAAGTTGTGTGTATTACTTATTTTAAAAAATCGTGATAGGAGTCTTTACAAGCTTTGGTTGTGACCGAAGCAAAAATACCATGAAGTATAAATGCCAGGTAGACATTCATTCTTGTTCTTTCATCATCCATTATGTTTGGTTTTAGTTAAACACATGTGTAGGTTTTAAGTGGAATATTTGCACAAAATTTTCTAGGGGAAAGACTTAGAAGCATGTATGAAAGACATACACACAATTTCTATAAGTCAGAGAAGCTTGTGCTAGCATCAAATGAGCTGCTTTAAATAGTAAAATCACCACTTGTGGTTATTAATTACCCTTCATTTTGACATTTTAAATTAAATCAGAAAAAAATGCATTGTTTAAAGAGTTCAATGTGTAAAGAGCACTAGTAGAGTCACAGTGCACTAAATTCAGATTTGCTTGTTAAGGTCTGAAAAAGCTGCTGAGCAGTCTACCTTCCACCACTGCCGCAAACTTCAGAGCCCTGGACTGCTATACATGCGTATACACGTTTATATCTAAATATGCTTATTCACATATGTTTCTGTCTGCCAGTGCTGATAGCAATGCCTGCTGTTGGTGACAGAGGCATAATACATCTTAATATTCTCTTATGAGTAGATTAGGTGTCGGCATAACGTTTTACAAGGGTTGCTGTGTATCTTGGTCATTGGCCATAGGCTACTTATTTAAACATTCATTGGGTTGGATCCAGAGTTCCCATGGGACATTCCTGCTAGAAGGGTGGGAAGCAGTTTTCTCCTATTTTTCCTTCTCCCTGCAGTCCTCTGTGACCCCAGAAAAAGGGTGGAGGTCCCTGGAATATGTGGGAACTGAAGGAGGTTGCAGAGAGAAGGGAGAATCAGTGAAAACCCTATCCCCCTTCCTCCATCTGGTATCAGTCCCTTCCACAAGTAGAAGCATCTCTTCCATTTGAGGGAGGGACACTGGATCTAATTCACTGTCTCCACCGCAAGGCAGAGCTATCAGCACTTGGTTTTGTACCGGGGTCACATGATCTTTCCATTACATAACTGGAGCTTTGATGGCCTTCAGGATTTTTTTTTTTGATGCCTACTTCTAGTCAAAATAATCAGGCATTCTGTAGCTTTGAAACCCTCTTGTCTTGCAGATGTGGTTAGGTGTTGATGTACCAAATCAAGGTAGTAGACAGTCCAAGATGCAGTTGGAGGCCATCCTGCCCTGCCCTATGCTCTGTGAACTGACCTAGCTAGGCCTTGTTCCTCTATCTGTGAATGCGTGACTCATCGATATGGGCGTTTGTGTTGGGCCCATACCAACCTTGTTTAGTCCCACAGTGTTTTGTGCGCCCCACGGAAGCCAAGAAAGCGGCGGATGAGGCCAAGATGAGGTTCGCCCACATAGATGGAGATCATTTGACGTTGCTGAATGTCTACCATGCTTTCAAACAAAGTAAGTAGACACTGGCGGGGCTGCTTGTGTTATTTGCTGATATATAGTGTTGACAATCTGATAGGTCTGTATTCACTCTTGCTGTAGATCTTCCTCTACTGCAATGTTACACAGCGTTGTGGGTTAAACCACAGAGCCTAGGACTTGCCGATCAGAAGTTTGGCGGTTTGAATCCCCGCGACAGGGTGAGCTCCCGTTGCTCAGTCCCTGCTTCTGCCAACCTAGCAGTTCGAAAGCACGTCAAAGTGCAAGTAGATAAATAGGTACCGCTCTGGCGGGAAGGTAAACGGTGTTTCCGTGCGCTGCTCTGGTTCACCAGAAGCAGCTTAGTCATGCTGGCCACATGACCCGGAAGCTGTATGCCAGCTCCCTTGGCCAATAAAGCGAGATGAGCGCCGCAACCCCAGAGTCGGTCACGACTGGACCTAATGGTCAGGGGTCCATTTACCTTTACTTTTACTGCTTATAAAAGAGAGGGATTATCTGTAGGATGAAATACTTTCAGCCAGTGTGGCATAGCAGATAATAGACTGTGTACAAATCAGGAAGGCCCTGATGATGATGATGGTGATAGTAGTAGTAGCAGTAGGTTGTTGTTGTTATTTACATGCCACCCCAGCTACTCTGGCAGCTTCCAACAAATTAAAATACAGTAAGACATCACACATTAAAAACTTCCCTCTGTCTCACGGTTTCAGCATAAGCTTTCCCTCTGCACCAATTGAATAACAAAACTTAAAAATAAGGCAAAACCTTAAAGTAATTGTAAAATATAGTATGTGTGGTGACCAGGGTCCTTAATAATTGCTAAGTAAAAGTCGAAGGGACCTTGGCCCCTAGGAGTTGGCTCCTAGGAGTTTGAGTCAGGCACGCACTCCTTCACTGGCTCTGAGGCCTCTGCTAAACACATGTGGCTTTTGAAGATGAACTGGGATGCCTGGAGTGGTGGTTATTCTCTATAATAAGGCCAATATGATAACTGGGGTTGGGAAAGAAACACTTTGCTCTGGGCTGGACATTACAACTTTTAGTGTATTTTGTGTGTGTGGCTTCACCTGCTTCAGAAATAATCTATTTCACACTCTAAAGTTTTCATGTATATTTCACTATATTTACTGGGCTGTGTTATTCAGGCACAGGCAAACTCTGCCCTTCAGATGTTTTGGGACTACAACTCCCATCATCCCTGACCACTGGTCCTGTTAGCTAGGGATGATGGGAGTTGTAGTCCCAAAACATCTGGAGGGCCAAGTTTGCCTATGCCTGGTGTTATTGCTGTAAAGATTACTAAGACAATGCTTGTGAAGTACAGCAGTCCCCTGGCACTATAATTGTGACCCTATATCTCATGAATTAGCAACCAGTTTAATACTGTGCCCCCAATTCCCATTCCTTCAAGTCTACCCAGAAGGATATCATAGTTGTAATGAATACTGCTGAGAGGATCAGGAAAACCATTATGGTCTTGCTTCTCTTATCTCCTAGTGCAGATCATCCAAATCAAAAGTTAAAAAAAAGATAATTTCACATGCTGCCTAACACAGATAAATCCCGTGTTTAACCCTAACTTCACTCTGGATAAATTGATATTTGTTTTGAAAATCCATATAAAATTGCTGTAATATAGTGTGAGAGGACATCGCATCTAGATAGTAGAAAATAATATTTGGCTGCCAGGGCCTGCCAGAATTTGAGGACCCCTGGCTATACTTAAAAGGAAATATTTAATGTATTTTTCTGCTCATGACTGAAATGAAATTAAATCTGAGTGTTCTGTTAATAAGAGACCAATCAATCTCCATTATTTAGAGATCCTGGATGTTAAATTGGCGAGGAGGACATAATGGCTCAAAGTTGGAATTTTTGTTAGGGACATTCTGAGAATTTCTAGGTGGGGAGGGGGAAAAGTGAACTGGAATTCTAGATTAAAATGCAGACTCAAAACGTATTGTACTCCTGAATATGAGGCCAGTCGCAGCTAGCTGAAGTGCCTGAGTTTTGGAATGCTACAATTATTCTGAATGACACTGAGTAATGGGTAGATAGGTGTTCATTCAGAAGACAGAGTATTTGTGATAACTTTGTCACAGGGATATTGTTTGCTTCTTGAGTGTTGTCTGTACTAATGCATTCAATCTTCCAATAACATCACTCTTTAGTCAAGTCTATGTAAGAAGTAAGACCAAGATCACAGTGACAAGAGAAGATAAACCAATTCTCTCTTCCAAAGAATTACTGTGAATGACACCCTAGCTTTCAATTCTTATTTTCTATCAATGGCTTTCATGTCAAAACTGATCCCTATCTCTATGAAATAGTAAATTACTCAGCTTCCTGACACAGAATTTACCTGACACAGAGGTTGCACTTCCTTGCATAATCTGTAAATTAAAATTTGAAAATAGTGGCTTGGCAGATGGGAAAATAGCTCAAAATAGATTCGTTCTTCTCCCAAGTAGTTGAAATAAGCAAAAGCGAAGAGCTTTTAATGTTAAAATGGAAGATCAGAAGTGTAATGGAAGGTACCAGTTGGATTTTACTGTGATGATTCTGTGGTAGAAAATGTGTTCCTTATGGTTTGAAGTTTTATAGTTACAGGCTGCCTATTTATTTATTCATTTGTATCACAGCTATAGTTTGAATATCACTGTGTGCTCTCTAAAGAACTCATAGATGGTCTTCAGATTTCTTCAGCAGGGCAGATCTGTTCTATTTGATAATACTAGCACATTTCCACATTGAAAGAATGTGAATGGCTGGTAAAATTGCAGCATTCCTTAGGCTTCATGGTACTTAGCGCTTGTGTTTACTTATGTGGGATCTTCCTCTTTGTGCATTCAAACCTTGTGTGATCAGAGTGAGAGGGGGAGAGTTGGCCCTCCTTCTCTGGCATATGCCCACCACCAGCTTCATTCATTGCCTTCCACGTTTTGGAAAGTGAAATTCTCCACATGAAAGATTAGGGTTCTAAATTGTGTAGGGAGCCTGAAGGAACGCAGCAGACTGATCCAACAGGCTCATCTCGGCTCTCACTGTAATGCAATGGTGTGTCCTTGTTTCTAAAAGAATAACTGGAGAGGGATATTCTCCCATGCAATTCCACTGGTCAATCCAACAGGCAAGGTTGTGTGCATGTAGCCCTCTTTAGAAAGTTGAAATAGTACTAACTGGGTGTTTGTGTGCATTTGTGAATGCATGTTTTTCTAAGCTTCCTTCAGAAAGGACTAGGATTGCATAATTCCAGCTGCTTCACCTGTGTGCTAATGGATCAGAATAAGTGTTCTTTAGACATTTTTTTTCTTAGAAAGTAGCAGCTGACAGCCACTCCTTAGCCTGAAGACACCTAGTTTGTTCATATATGGTTTGACAAAATCTAGAAATGAGATATGTATAGAACTTGTAAAAAAATAACCCATTGGTTACCCTATAAAGACTTTCTACTGTTTACCTTTTCTCCAATCAGATTTCCTATTACCTCCTTGAGCTAATTTTTGAAAAACTTAGCAATTCAGTATTCTTTATTTTCTTTGTGGTCCCCGGTCCGTCCGTTCCAAATTCTAGCCACTGCAGTTCTTGTCCACTTGTCTTTGTAAGCTTATTTACCTACTGTGGACGAAAATTAAGAGCAGCTGAAAAGGTGTAGCAGTTGCTGTTTAAATAAATAAAACAGTGTCATTCGGGTTTTTAATCGGTTCAGTGGGTTGACCATTCAGCTGGTTTCTCTTTGTGTACTTGTTTTAATTTGGTAAAATGTTCATTTTTAGATGATTCATGACTTTTTTTTAACATTGCAGATCATGAATCGGTTCAGTGGTGTTATGACAACTTCATTAACTACAGGTCCCTGATGTCTGCAGACAATGTACGCCAACAGCTGTCACGAATCATGGACAGATTTAATTTGCCGCGTAGAAGCACAGACTTCACAAGCAGGGACTATTACATCAATATTAGGAAGGCTTTGGTTACTGGTTACTTCATGCAGGTATGTTGCATATAAAATACACGGAAATCTGCAATTCTGCACCCCTTCGAAATGATTTAAAATGTGTTTAGTATTTAGCTATGATTTATACAACCTGATTATTGGGCAACTCTGACAGACAGGCAAATAGCATAGGGAAATTCTGAAACGGCACATTTTGAAAAGTACCCCTCTCTCTGTCTTGTCATCTGTTAAAATAGAGACTGTGAGTCTCCTTAGGATTGGGACCTGTCTCTTTTCTCATGCAATTCTTTACATTGGTGGCACTATGCTGGTTAGTTTTTACCTCTGGTAGTTGCCTTCTTGCAGAGTAGGTACTCATTTCTAAAATAAATACACATATTTTGTTTAATGAAAGATTTAAGAGATTATAAAAAACAGGCAGGCTTTTAAATTGCATAATTTTAGAAATGTGACCGATGGGGGGGGGGGTGTTGAGTTCCAATTATATGTTATATATGGGTACATTATTATAGCTGGGTGCTTTGGTTTAATGTTTGCTTAAGTTTTGCCCTATACTCTACAACTGAACTTTTGTGGAATAGCCGGATCCGTACTTTATTAAGTGCAGGTTGGGCCATAGTGAATGAAAGCCGATTGTATTTTAAAAGTGGTCACTCAGGAATGTAAGAACAGCCCTTCTGGGTCAGACCAAAGGCCCAGAAGTCCACATTCCTCTTCTCACAGTGACCAACCCATGGGAAGCCTACAAGTGGTTTATAATGAGTTTAAGCCATAATAGGAGCTACCATTTTAATAGAAGGCAGATTATCTAACCCAGTTACAGGGAGTTTAAAAGCAAGGGATTGTCCCATTTGCACAAGGACTTCTTCTGTTCCTGGGGGTCACCCTTAATCCCCAGAACAGAATTGGGTGGGGACATGTAAGGAGAGGAACTCTGTTGTACAATACAAGCAAAAGCCATTGTATGAACGTTTATAGATTCAACCCTCAAGAATCTACCTGAGATTCTGGATTGGGGCAACTGTGGCAGATCTGCCTTGCACAGAATTATTTAACTCTTTTGGCTGATTACAAGAGTTGCATCTCTGTTTTCTAATGCTTAATTCTATTGCTCATATTTTCATCCCCCGCTTTTAATTGTTGTTATAAATACGTGCTGCTTTAGACTCTAAACAGCATTACATTTCAGATTATCTTCATATTATAATTTCACATTTCCAATTATTTTAGGAGATTTTTTAATTTGTCCAGAATTCAAGCCTGTGTTCCCGAGGCTGGAAAATGCCCTGTTGCCATGTATGGTTTTGAAGCATAGCTGTCAACTTTTCCCTTTCCTTGCGAGGAATCCTATTTGGAATAAGGGAATTTCCCTTTAAAATAGGGAAACGTTGACAGCTATGGTTAGAAGGTTGTTGCGCAGTTGGGGTTTGGGATGGCTAAGCTTTGATAGAGAGTTGCCGGCGCAAGAACAGCCAATCAACACCTTGATTTTCCATATTTTCCAAGAGGTTTAGTATCATGGGAGAAGTGCAGCAGGCATCACATTTCTCATGTGAGTGTGAATGTTGTCAATACAGGTGGCACATTTGGAACGGACAGGACACTATCTAACAGTGAAGGACAACCAGGTAGTGCAGTTGCATCCTTCCACAGTTCTTGATCACAAGCCTGAGTGGGTACTTTACAACGAATTTGTTCTTACCACGAAGAACTACATCCGCACTTGTACAGACATCAAGCCAGAATGGTAAGCCACCTTCTTCAAAACGGTGTCTTTTTTCTCTCAACACATTGCTAATTTTAAAAGTACATTTTCATGTATGTTTTTATGAAAGTTTCCTGAGAGCTGTAAGGAAAAACGAAAAGGATTTTGGAGCCCTAGGCCACTAACAACACTAATTAAAAACCTTGCTTGAAACATCTCCTTTCTGGATCTTCAGTTTCAATTACGCTTATTAAAAAACGTGTTGTCTCTTTTTCCTTGTTCAAATGGCTGGTTTTATACATTCGCCTACCTGGAAGTTGGAAAGCCCGGCCTTTCTGCTGTAAACAGAAGTTAGGTTCCTTTTATCTTTTGCAGCAGCAGAAGTGAGCAAGCAAGCAGGTTTTAAAAAAGAAACTTGTATTGAGGAGTGCTTGTTACTACAGATATTGGGAGCTGGGGAGAGTTTCTGAATTTCAGAGCTTGATTTAAAACACTGCCAGCTTTTCTCACAGTGGTTAAGGGTGTTGAGACGCTAAAGAAATCATACTGAAAGTGATGGTGGTCTTAACAGAAGAGAGCAAGTGTGCAATCGTGCAGTCCACTCCTTTAATTCTAGTTAAGGGACAAGCTCGCATTACACCTGCAAGTGCCCCCCTTGTTTTTTCATTTACAAATGTTTCCATGTTGCTCTTTTCTATTTGTTTAATGTTCTGTCAGTAGCCACATGTATGCTACCTTTTGCGCATGCAATTTTGATTAGGCTTGATAAGTAATACTTGAATACATACGGAATTTCGACTGACAATTGAATAGCGGCCAAATCTCAATTGGAAAAAAAGCAATGGTAACAAGACGTGTGTTCTGCTTTGATAGATAGTCTGGTCCCTGTGGAAGAGATCATGTTGCAGAAAGATCCAGAAGGGAATGAAAGCTTAGAAATAGGAGTCACTTTTGACTTCTGCATCTGCTTCTTTAAATAATGCCACCTTCATTCCCCGCCCCCCCATTTATTATCCTCGTTTCTTTCGTAGCTGCACCTAGGATGTTGCCTTAGATTGGGTCAGACCACTGGTCCATCTTTGTCAGTATTGCCTATACAGTGGTATCTCAGGTTACATACGCTTCAGGTTACAGACTCCGCTAACCCAGAAATAGTACCTCGGGTTAAGAACTTTGCTTCAGGATGAGAACAGAAATCGCGCTCCGGTGGCACGGCAGCAACAGGAGGCCCCATTAGCTAAAGTGGTGCTTCAGGTTAAGAACAGTTTCTTTTAAAAAAAATAATAATTTTTTATTCATTTTCCAAACAAGTTTTATACAATCAACAAATTGTTTTACACTCATGCTTCAATTTTTGACTTCCCTCAGTTTCTCTGTCAATCTTTCGAAAAAATTCTATTTATTGACGCATTTCTAAACATGATACTGCCTTTCCCCACTCCTTTTCCTCTTACTCTCTTTTTTTGCAGTATTTCTTACTATTTCACAGAGTCTCTTCAAAACCAACAAGCGTTGTCTGTGCATCACATATATTTTTCAGATATTCTGTAAATTCCCCCAGTCCTCGATAAACTTTTGGTCTTTCTGGTATCGAATCTTCCCAGTCAATTTGTCCAATTCTGCATATTCGGTCAATTTCCTTCTCCATTCTTCCACTGTTGGAATTTCTTCCTGTTTCCATCTTTGGGCCAAAAGTATCCTTGCGGCAGTCACTGCATATTGAAACAGTTTACAGTCTCTCTTATTGATTTCGTTTCCTACCATTCCTAATAGAAAGGCTTCTGGTTTTTTTAACGAACGTATATTTCAACATCTTTTTCAATTCATTGTATATCATTTCCCAGAAGTCTTTCGCCTTTTTACACTCCCACCACATATGATAGAAAGTACCTTCTTTTTCTTTACATTTCCAACACTTATTGCATGTTTTATACATTTTGGTCAGTTTAACTGGCGTTAAATACCATCTGTAAAACATTTTCATTACATTTTCTTTCAACGCAGTACATGCCGTAAATTTTAACCTTTCATTCCATAATTTCATCCAATCATCATACTGTATATTGTAACCAAAGTCTCTTGCCCAGTGTATCATTACTACTTTTACCTCTTCATCTTTTGTATGCCACTCCAGCAACACTTTATACATTTTAGACAGGTTTTTAAGAACAGTTTCAGGTTGAAGGAAAGGTAACAACAGGAAGAATTAAAGGAACTATTGGAAACTCAAGGCAGTAGAGATATAAGATAATCAGAGCCCCACCAAACTTGAAGTATGGGAAGCCCCAATAAAAATTTATAATTTGGTGGAATATTTGGACTATATGATACGTATTTTTATAATTTGGAATATTTAATGTGATTTGACTGAATTGTTAAAATGGAAAATTAAAATATATATATATATTTTTAAAAAAGAACAGTTTCAGGTTAAGAACAGACCTCCGGAACGAATTAAGTATGTAACAAGAGGTACCACTGTATTCACTGGCAACAACTTTCCTGAGTTTCATGCAGGAATCTTTTCCAGCTCTGTTTGGTGATTCCAGGGACTTAACCTGGAAACTTTTGCATGCAAAGCATGCGCTCCACCATCAGCTATGGTCTTTTTCCTTAGGCGAGAAATAGCAGAAATGATCTCAGCTCTTAGATTCACTGAGAGGTTATCATCATCAGTTTGGGCTTACTGTTACCCATCCAGCTTACATCTAAATTGTACAAATGGTCGTTTGCCTGCAAACCAGAACTGTGGAAACTGTGGTTTGTACATGCTTCCCAGTTATCCATATGCCCAGTTCATTTGTAATGGCAGATTATAAAACCAGGAAGTCAGGGTGGAAATTTGAATGCTTGACAGAAGGGAGCATGCGTGCTTGAGGCCCATTCTCAATTCTCCAGCTGTGTTTTCAAGGGCTGGCAATATTGCATCTAAACCAGCTCATAGAATTTGACAATACTGAGGCTTTTTGATAAATCACTTTTAAGGTTGATGCTCGTAATTTTAGCCCCAAATGTGAAAAAAAAGAAGGAATAGAAAGAAGTGTTTGTTCCATTAAAGGCCCTGCGACAAGCCCCTTTGCTTTTCAGTAAAGCCATAATGTTTGTTCCTGTCGGTTCTAAAACGTCTGAATGCAGAGTCATTGTTCCTATATATTTTCATCATGCATTTGTATTATTGCCTGGAACTTGGCTTACAATCAGAGATTCCTTCTGTGATGCTGTACTCTTATCTATTATTTAATCTAGCTGTTGATAACTAATGTCCACACTGTTTACAACTACATAATTGACTTTTGGTTGAAGTATCCAAATATTGTCTCCAACTTGCGTATTATTCCAAGTCAATAAAAGTTGACTTTTCATTTTAATGAATGGTAAAAACTGCTTTCTTCATATTGCATATACACAAGATTTTTACCCCCCCCCCGTGTGTTACAAGCTTTTTGTTTCGATTGTTTGAATTTTGTAAGTTTCAGAGTAGTAAGTATATATATACTACTTGGAGATGCCTTTTATTTTGAAAAGGTCCTTTCAGTAGCATTTTTTTATACATAAACTAGATTTCCATATTTCCAGGCCTTATTAAGGAGATTGATAATCTAATTATCATAAGTAGATACTAATTGGGCCACTGCTATCGCCTGCATGATATTCAGATCTGTGCACAAGTGACAAACCTTTCTTTCTTTGGCAGGTTGGTGAAAATTGCCCCTCAATATTATGACATGAGCAATTTCCCACAGTGTGAAGCAAAGAGACAGTTGGACCGCATCATTGCCAAACTTCAATCCAAGGAATACTCGCAGTACTGAATTTATTATTTGAATTGAAGTTGCTCAAGAGGACAGCTTTAAACAATAAATGAACTCATAAGTTCCAAGTTGTGCTCTTTGCTTTGGTTCAATAATGGCCTTTATTTGAAAGCTTTTTAATTTTTCTTTACAGTAAATATTCCATTCTGATTTCATAAATTAAACGCGTATGCCTCCCTTTTGTGTTCACACTGTAGCTCATACTGGAAAAGCTGATCAATGTTTTGCAGTTTATTGAAAGTAGTTCTCTATATAAATATAAATATATAACAATGTTATAAGCATTTCTTTAGAAATGGTTGAAAATGCTTCTAAAATGTGATTATCGACCATGGCATGCATGATCGTTGTAATTGTTGACATTCCTTTTAGAAGTTGTGAAGTGTTACAACATGCTTATGTAGACACAATCTTCAGCTTCAGTACAGAGGTACTGACTTCAATAAAGTCTATTTATACTAACGTTGTGGCAAAGTAACTTACTGTTTCTGTGCCCTTAATGAAGAAACGTTGATGACACATTCAGGTTGAAATCTTTCAATTTATTAAACATAGTTTTCAGATGCGTCTGATAAGTAAGATTTGTTCTTATGTATAGAGCAATGCTAGTCAGCTCGTTCATATTGCTATTGTGCAGGCATCCCCAACCTTCGGCCCTCCAGATGTTTTGCACTACAGTTCCCATCATCCCTGACCACTGGTCCTGTTAGCTAGGGATCATGGGAGTTGTAGGCCAAAACATCTGGAGGGTGGCAGGTTGGAGGTGCCTGCTGTTGTGTATCACATGTTATCCCATGCCAACTGCCCGACGATTTAAAAAAGAGCTATAAACTTGCAACCAGTGTTAGAAACTCAGATGTATAAGCTAGGCGCCAAATGGTTCCTTAAACCAGGGTTACAAAAACGGAATGCCTAGCTGCCTTTTTGGGGCCAGACTGCTCTAAAGTAGTATTTTTCAGTACAACTTTTTGGGTCCTAAAATTCACGCTGATTCTGCAGATAAAACATAACGGATAGAATTCTACAGGATGTGTTGCTAGTGTGTGAAAATAGTCGAGGTTCAAGGATCCCCTGGGATATACCTCCAGATGGTGGAGATGTCAGGCACTATCCTAGCACCTGGGCATCTTCACTAGTCACTCTTAGGCAATGTTTCAGTGCATTTTTAAGGAGCATATCTGCAAAAGCTATTTTGGGGAGCATCTTTAATGACCAAAACACAGACCAGATTTGCTTCAGAAATTCAGATTTTGTTCAAAACTGGCTGTCACTTTTAATAAGAAGTTTGGATCTTAACTGTCAGTGGACAAGGTTGTCTAATAAAAAAAATCTGGGCTACCTCTTCTGAAATGGCTATGGAAATACATTCTATGCATAAAACAATTTCCTCTCTTTAAACAAGTGCTACGTGTTCTAGTATCTGATGATGAAAGGGGGCTGATCCTTGGACTTAGGCTCATGGTCCAGATGGCTTTGATTCTCTTTTGCAATGAACTGAACTTGGAGGAGAAGCAAAGAAGGTCTCACCTTGGTTCCTTCTGTATACACAATTAATTATGAGTAAATGCTTGTCCCCAGCAATAGGAGTGTTTTAGCATATTAATGTATTATATATGAAATAATATATAAAATATTTTGGGTTTGCTTAGGTAGAGCAAGCATAGGCAACTGAATTTTTGAAATGTGGGTGTATGAAATTGGGTGCTTTTGTTGTTGTTTTTAAACCTTTTCAGTGTTATCTAGAAGTGCCACATTGTAAACTTTTCATTTTACCAGGCTAGCCCATAGGCTATATCTGACTTTGTTCCAACTTTCCCATCAGTTTTCAGCATTTCTGTATGGAGAATGTTGCAGAGCCTTGACCGAGTCATTGGTTCACAAAGAGTAATGAGACAACCTGAGAGGGCGCCGTTGAGCACATCTAGTGGCCCTGCAGGGAAAGAACTCACTAATAAGGGGCAAACCTGTCTACTATTAAGGAGTCTCTAGTATAAACGTTCAAGCTTGGAAGCCTGGTTTTTTGAAACTGTTATTTAGATTAGATTGGGCTAAATTTAAGGAGACTTGAAGGGTTAGGAAAAGTTTGTAAACCAACATTTGCTCCTTTGAACATCTCAGTCATATATTTAATAGCTTGCGTCCTCAGCTGTTTTTCACTCATGCATCTAATTTTTGTTTGTTTCTAGTGGGAATGTGACTTTTAGCATCCATGGTTTGGAAAGCTACGAATTATAATTGTCCATGCTATAAATAGGTACCAATTTTGATTGCATACAGAGCAACTGTGTGCAATTCTGTCCACAGCTTTCAGGTCTTTTTTCCTTGGGAGAGCACTTTCTATGAAGTGTGTTTATATGTTCTCAGTTCAAAGTAAAAAATTTGACTTCCCAATAATGCATATGCAACAAGTGCCCCGCTAGAGATGCAAATGGCGAAACATCTGATTAATGCTAGCAATAAATATTTAAAGCTGTCAACCAGGTTTTAAAAAGTTGAATATTGATCTGCCTTTTAACCAGTTGAGACTGCAACCTTACATTGCCTGGGATCCTCCTTCCATATAGGGATCACACTGAATATTATCCCAACCTCAATGCCAGTGTGCTTGAGATACTGAAGAAGGAGGTATAAAAACATAACCTTTAATACATGGAAGGTACCACTCTTGGATAGAAGACTACCTATGATGCTTGTAAAATTCATTCTCTTATTACAGCAGTACAGTTGAATTGAAATAGTTTCAATAAGTGTTCACTCTTAAGATCCAGCAATTAAAGTTTTAGCTGATTAATCTAATTAAACCAATTCATTTGTACCCTAGACTACCTCTTATTGTTCTCTATTGTCTGTTTTTCTGTTAGTGCTTTTATGTAAAGCATGCATGCCTTTGCTTTACATTTGAATTCTGTTTCTGTTCTTGTGTTCCTCTTTCCTAACCTCATTGCTCGAAGCAGCAAATACACACTTTAACCATCCTGCAATTACTAGGCTTTATGCAGTAAAGAGTTCCCTGTGTACCTGCCTATTTCATAAACGCTTTCGTCAATTCACATTTTCAACTGAGTGATATAAACAGCTTCTCATTTTATATTGGTAAATGGGTTTTACCCTCTTGCATGTCAACCTTTCCGGCTCTCCAGAGATGCTTGTTTTCAACATCAAAATTCATCAAAAGCCGTTTAAAATGCTACAACTTGAAACTAGGTTTTTGACATGCAGACCTCAGAATGATCTAGTTCACATAAAGTTGTTTTTCCTTTTCATGGGCCCTTCAGATACGTTAAGATCTCATGGCACAAGGTTAAAAGCTGGTGGATGCACATACGTTTGTAGGTTATATCGTAGGGTACTTTTCAAAAACCCTGAATAAATTAGGTTGCATCCACCGATGTGAGTTGTCTATATAATTGATGCTTTTAGATACTTGTCATTTGATCGCAATTTGGAGGACTAACAGGCTGGGGCCACTAATGGAAATCCAGAGAACCAGCATACCTTGCATGTGTGCATGCAGACCAAAAATACTTCTGTATACGTCTCTTGCCCTGGGCAGCAGGAGCTACAGTTTCCACGATGCACATTCAAGGCTGTGGACATGAACGGAAGCATGTAGGTCTCCTATGCATGCTGTAGTCTCATGCATGGCATGAGTTGAGTCTTGTCCATCATCCCATGCTCCTCCGATGATCCCATTCCTACCATGGAGGGTGTAGTCTTCAGCAGTCCCATGTATTTTTGGTGAGCACCTGAGTCTCATTAAAATGTAAGGCCACATCAGTACCATCCTGCTTTCTATAACATTCTTGCCACAACTGAACCACAAAACGTAAGCAGAGTGGCTGGGGCAACCTAGTTAGATGGGTTGTTGTTGTTGTTGTTGTTGTTGTTATGCAATTTGGCAGCAACCCCACTGGTGAGATCTCTGATATCTTCTAGTAGTTTTCAGTAGTTGCTTAGCCAAATGACAAATTGATTCGTGGATTACCATAATCAAGCAATCAACCAGGGTTTTATTTGAATATTACCGTTCAATAGAAAGCTGGCCATCCACATTAATGTGATGGGTTCACTAAGACTCTTGAGCTACAGTATGATTATTCCTGGTACTACCACCACTACTAGAAAGTTAATATGAAAGGCCTTTTGTGTGTTGAGGGAGCAGTCTTGGACCGTATTGTTATCCTTCCCCATCACAGCCCATTCTGTGTTTGCAGAGCCCAAGTATAGAATGTCCATTTGGATGGTGGTCTGGGAAGGAACAATGGTCTTGGGGAGGTAGGAAAATTTGGTGACTCGGGTGCTGTGCATCTTTTCTGGGTAAGGTGAACTTTTACATATATTTGGGGTCACTACTTCATATATAATGTCACCCAAAAATATACACACTTTCCCATTAACCCGCCTTGCTTGTTTTAAGAGGAACTTTAGTGTGGATTTAGACTTCCGATATACCTGTCTGGAGGGCACTTTAATACATATTTTTAACAGTAAAGCATGCTATTTTGCTACCATATAAAGGGTTGCTGCTTAAGTAATGCGATTTGAGGCTTTGACTGCAAGTCTGCTTTAATGGCATAATTGTTCACTTTTGCCATTTATTGGGGTGCAAAAGACTAACCATCAATTACGCTGATGGAGAAGAGCTGTTGAAAGGCCTGAGGAGGGCATTCAATTATCACTTCATTTTAATAACCACAGTAATGTTGAAAGTTTCTTATTATGGGTAGGTTATTAGACTCATCAATGTTTGCTTCCACTTGAACAGACAAGACGTTTATCCAGCTGCACACTTGATCATGTAGAATCCAAAAAGATCTTTATGTACCTTGAAAGAACGACGACGACAACAACAAAATCCATTTATCTTGTTCTCTTATCTCTTGGCAGTTTTCAATTTGCTTTCTAAGAATGTTTCCGTTACTTGTTTGCTTCCCACCACCTTAATTTTCAGTCAAGAGCAATTCATATGTTGCTATTCAGCTGAATAGTGAGTATTGATCAGCCGCTTTCAACAACGCATTGGTGACATTTTGTATTAGATACAAATGCATGTTTCCATTTCTCCTGCAACACTTAAGATTCTGATATTTGAAGAGCACCAGATTTATACTAAAGGCTAAATATGTTTCTGTGCGCTCTGCAGGGTGGAGAAAATCTTAGCTTTTATGTTAAATCATAGACATACCCTTTGAGAGAAATATCATGCCTTAGATGAGTAGAATGCCTATGAGAACAGCGCTTGCACAGATTTTAATAGGTTTGTCTTCCAAATATGGCCCAGTGTTGTATCCAAAACGGACCTCAGTGTCCGTTCTGCCCGGACACTGAGGTCCAGTGCCGAGGGCCTTCTGGCGGTTCCCTCGCTGCGAGAAGCCAAGTTACAGGGAACCAGGCAGAGGGCCTTCTCGGTAGTGACGCCCTCCCTGTGGAACGCCCTCCCACCAGATGTCAAAGAGAAAAATACCTACCAAACTTTTAGAAGACATCTAAAGGCAACCCTGTTTAGGGAAGCTTTTAATG